ATATACATTTCCATTTATTTTATACAAAATACTAAATCTACTAAATTCTGCTGAGTCTTACCGTATCATTATCTCATTACTATATTGAAAATCCAAAAAAAAGGTAACAAAAATTGTATTACAGTGCCAACTAGCTCAAGTTCTATAAATAACAAGTAAGGAAGAGCTAAGTTCAGGCATTCAGCATTTCATACTCTTGCAACATGCCAGGATTAAAGCTAGGGAAATGCCTTATTCAAATGATACATTGTTATCAGAAAAACACGCTATTTCAATTTCATTCAGATAACCCACATATTAACCGATATATGCGTTATAAAGTCAGCTGAAAGTTCCAAAATCTCTCTATTAGGTATATGGAGGCTGAAGGTATTATTGCAACTGGGCAATTTTTGTTTATAAGGTGGCACATCTCAAAGAAACTATTTGTGCAAAGTTTTATCTGGATCCATTGGTTAGTTGTTGATTTGTATACTGGAAAGTACAAGAAGCAGATGAAATTTAAAATTGTTTTATATTAAAAGTAGGCGAGGTTTGTCTGATTTCGTACATTTTCGCACTGTAATGTAAAAATATCAGAATAATATTACGGAACGAATTTGTATGAAATCGGTAGAGTGCCGAGATAAGGACGGTACCACGATCATTGTCCTAATTGGACACCTGCTCCTATAAAGCCCTCTCATGCCATCTCGAGTGTAAATTTTTATGTCTATAGCGCATAGTTATAGATTTATTGCACTTTTAGTAGTTTTTAATAAAACCGTTATATGGGGAGAGGGCGGGGTTATAATCCGAATTCACTCATTTTCATGGGGTGAGTAGGGATGTCAAAAATATTTTCAATGAGCGAATTTGATTACAACTTGCATGGTTTAGAAGATACGTACATGAAACGTATTAAGAGGCGTGGCCACGCGCACTTTAAACATTTTTTTTCTACCATAGATGCCCTTTTTCTAGTGCAATTCGTTGTACTGGTATTGCAGATGGGCGTAATCGGACCACTGCCACGCCCACAAAACGCCATTAATCAAAAACAAATAAGTTGCCATAACTAAGCTCCGCAATAAGATACAAGACTGTTATTTGGTACACAGGATCACATTAAGGAGGGGCATCTGTAGTTAAAATTTGTTTAAAGTGGGCGTTGTTCCGCCCTTAATAGGTTTAATGTGCATTTCTACTAAACTGCTTAAGCTATAATAACAAAATTCACTGGAAGCAAATGTTTTTAGCACCTCTACTTACAGTGTGAAAATGTCCATTTTGTCAAAGATCAAAATTTTTTCTAGTCCTCCAATCATTATCCGAACTCATCTATTAAAATAATATTTGGTTTTTGGATTTGAGATAGTTTTATGATGAACAAGCTTGAGACATCTTTTTTCGGAGGTCCTCCTAGAGATCGTAAACGTATTAAACGATTTTAAATTCAGTAAATGTACATCTTTTATACTATATATATTAATTATTATTATCTCTCTTAAAAATGAAATCATAAAAACACGCGTTTTTTCTGACTAGCAAGTGGACAATGCAAACACTTCATCACAGAAAATAAAGTATATTTAGCTTTGGAAGAATGTTACTTTTTAATGTTAAAATATAAATTCTTCAAATTCGCCATAGGAAACTTTACAAGCGATTATATTCACTTCATATGTACATATGTAATGTTCTTACTCGTATATTGTTGTCGCTATTTATTGTATTGTGGAGTGCTGAGTCATACACCTTTTGAATGCTACGCAGTTCAGCAGTAACACCCTAATTAACGGTGAAAAGTGAAAAACACTTGTGAATAACCACTAATGAATATGCCAGATACATATATACATACAGACACACACACTTATGCGTTTTTATACCCTGAACAAGCTTAATAATAGGGTTTTTGTTCTCTATAAAAATGTTGGCTCATTATACGGAACATTATACTTGTATTAGTAAATGTTATATTTTTTATATGACAAAAGAACAAAAGAATGCCATCCAACTCATTTGCAATATTTATTATTGAGCTTAACCAAACTGATCGTTTCTTTATAATTAGTAAAAAAACTTGATTAAAAAAAAATTATAAAAAAAATATAAATAAAAAAAATAAAATAATCTAGGCAACTCTTACCCTCACGTTTTGAGAAGGGCAGAAAATGTTGCACTTTTTTCAGGCTAGAAGGAAAATTCTGAAACACGAAACTTTGACAGCCCGGCAGAAAAAATGCAACATTTTCATGAGAAAAGTAAACGCTATATGTGTGCGATGAAGTTTGTAACGCTCAGAAGGAAACGTCGGAGCCCCTATAAAATATATACATACATACATATATAAATGATCGGGAATCGCGAACTAGTCCCTCAGTTTTTGAGATATCGAGCTGAAATTTTGCACACGTTCTTTTCTCCCCAAGAAGCTGTCAATTTTTCCGAACCGCCGATATTGAAACACTAGAGCATATACAAGTAGTAGCCATACAAACTGACCGATCAAAACCAAGTTCTTGTAAGAAAAACTTGAACCTGTGAAGTGTATTATAGCCTCGGTGCAGCGGAAGTTAACCTGTTTTCTTGTTTATTTTATATATTTATATATATTGTATATATAACACTTTCTGTAAGTAATAAATATATAATATATAAAGGTAGATTCCCCAGAACCGTGCAAAATAGACTCAGCAAAAAACTTAAAAAAGGCTGGAAACAATGGCGTTTACACAAAACTCGCAAGCGTTCGTAAATGTTACAGTACTATGAACTTGTAAATATATAAGTAATTGCCTTCATACTTTTTGCTATTTTTAATGTTCGCTCATTTGCATTTACTTATTACATATAAATTTGTCGTAGTTTATATACATTTTTTCTATGTGTGAGTAACGACTTAATCTTCCATTGCAAATACGTGAATGTACAATACTAATATGCACTTAGATTTAAATGCCTAATTAGTTTAATCACTTTAGTACGCCAAATTGCGAATAGATACAACAACAAATATAACAAAAAAAATACACAATAATATTTGAGTGCCAGTATCTATAAATTCCACTCAGATCGTCAAAACCGACGTGACTTAGAGCAGCTGAATTAAGTAGCTAAGAAATTGCTTCAATGTTTTGACTTAATGATGACGGCCACTGGCTTAGATCATCAGCCGAATAAAGATTAAATATATGTACATATGTAGATATATCAGAAATATTATTTTTGTAAGTGAGAGGTACAATTCTGAACGCAAACCACTACCCTGCAAGCCACCTATCTATTAAATCACCGGTTAATTACCCAACAACGCTACCAGAGATTTCTGTTAAAGTTTCTATGAGTTTCTTAAAAGCTAATTGACAGTTCTAACCGAAACTCTTGCGTACATTTGATCGTTCATCCCTTTCATACGCAAAGGCCTTATGAGTCGCGTGTGTATGTGTTAGTTCCGCGCAAATTCTTTCATTGTATTGGAGTTTCGGTAGCCGTGACTTACTGTGTAGTATTTTGAACTAAAAAAGAATAGAGACAACAGAGAAAATCGTTTGGTAGGTATGTAAGTAAATGAGAGTCTTATTAAGATGAAGTTTGGAGGAAGTAATGTTAGTATATATATATATATATATAGATATATATATATAACATCAGGTATATCACTAAACTTAATAATATACGTACATTACAAATTGGGGTAAAAAAAAACTATATACATATGTTTGTATGTATTTATGTGTATATATGCTTTAGACCAATTGAAGCTTATGCCTCCAAGTTACGTATGATGTAAGGTGGCTGTACCCGATGTACTTCATCATTTGCTATGCTGAGCACGTCTAACATTTGTACAGATGTATGTATGTAATATAAAAACTAGTATTCGTGTGGTTAAATACTTGTACATACCTATGTCCCACTTTTACTCTCAAAAAGCAAATATGTGCTGCGCATCATATTATGTCTGGTGATGTCATTAACTATAGAAATTCTTGCAGTGACGTAATCTCAGTATCTTCCCTCTTAACAACAATTGAGTATTCGTACGCAACTATTATGTGTATTATATATTATATGTACATATTGTATTTTCCAGGGTGACTGCTACTTCCACTTTCTGCGCTTAAATAATTTGGCGATTAAGTTCATTTTACGAGTATTCCTTTGTTATTTATGAAAGTGGGTGTACTTAATTATTGGTTTGGCATTTCATATTTATACCCTTAAAGTTGTAACACCCAGAAGTGAACGTCGAAGTCTCTATTAAATATATGCACATATACATACATATATAAATGATCAGCGTTTAAACTGAGTCGATTTATCTATCCGTAAGTCTATACCTAGTCTCTGTTCTTGAGTTACCGTTCAGAAACTTTTCACACGACCTTTTCGCACCAAAAAGCTGTTCATTTGTCTGAACCGCCCATATCGGAGCACTATTTGGCATGGATTATTGTCTAAGTACCATCTTCGAACAAATTATCAACATCGGATCTGTATAGCATGTAACTGCTGTACGAACTGAACGATCAAAATCAAGATTTTGTGTTGAAACTTCTTTATTTGTAAAGGGTATTCTATTGTAGATAGTACCTTGTATCTGCTCTGTAATGATAGAGATCAGTCGATTTGACAAGTGTTGCTTTTTTTAATTTGTACGTTATATTATTATTCGAATTTCGATGAGCATTTTCTTCTTTCCAAATTTTCTAAATTTATTCTGCAATCGTACTTCAGTGTTAAAAGATGTTACTAATATGATTTATGAATAAAATTAAATATGTATGTACATAAGTATATATATACACGAGTATATACATATATACAACGTTATTGACCACAGTTATAGAACAGTTCTCAGTAAATGGCTCATTAACCGCAAAACAGTTAATTATATATTAATATCAATAATTTTCTTGAAAAACTGTTTCTCCGAACATTGACAGATCCGATCATACCATGACTAACGTGACGTAATATACTTAGTAAGCATTGCCTCATAAAATCAGGAATACCACTGTGATACATACCATACATACTAACATACATACACTTAATATTATTGTGAACATAACACACAACATAAACATTGCGCAAACGTAATAAAAACTGGCACAACTGGTTTCGAATTTGTTACGAAAAGACGCAAAGTAAAACGCAAAAGTATTTGAAAGAAAAACCAAAAGCTGTTCGTAGCAATCAACCAGAAAGCATTAGACCAAGAGCAGGTGAAGATAAATACTACAAAAATTAAATTAAAACATAAAAACAAAGATTATTGCAGCTGCTCAAAAGCAACAACACTCACGCTGAACTAGTGGCAGGCTCCACTCGAGGGGACTGCGGTTCCCATATCGAAACAATTGCTTTGCCACTCAAACAAGTGACCGGCCGCCAATTGAATGGGCGTTCGGTACAATAGCATTTGAGCGGCAAATTTCATTGAAAACAAACATTGACTAACCAACTACTCAAATGAAAAAAAAATTATTTTGGGAGAAAAGTTGTTTACCATAAGTAAATGGTGACACATTCAGTCACTGTGGGTGGTGGGGGTCGTGAGTGAAAGTTCTTCTCTGCTTCACTCAAAACAAATCTGTCGGGCGTTTACTCGAGCGTGTTGCTTTACTGTGAATGACAATAATATTATTTACGCACACTGTTTTGCTCGTTCGTTTGTAGTTGTGTGCTTAGTAATGCCACCAGCTAGTCAGTAATCCAGTTCGATGCTTGGGTACCCATGCCGCCACAGTTGCGCCCGTGTCGTGCTACTTACAAGACGTTTTTAACGCAGCGTTCTCTCAGGTTAGCCAAAAAGGAAGTGTAGTGTTGTTTTGTTTAATAAGACAAAATATATTTACTTTGAACAAGAGTTTTTTAATATTCTTAAAATAGTATTTTTGTTTTAAGTTAACAGTCTTAAAAAATATTAAAAATTTAAAATATTGAATGTTAAGTTGAAAGTGCATGAGTTTAAAATGTATTAATGCATTTGAAGAAGAAGGAAATAATATTTTAATGTAAATTTTAATACAGAGTTGTTTTTCTCTGAGTTTTTGTTTTAAATAAATACATATATATTTTTCATATAAAAAATTTTAATAATAAAAAATTATTAATAATCAATTTTTAATAAAAAGATATTTATAATAAAATATTTTTAATAAAAAAAATTTTATAAAAAAGTCTTAAAACTTGTAAAATGTTGGGATTTAATTTTTGTTGTATTATTCTAAATACAGATTTCTTTCAAAATATATATGTAATAGGAAATAATTTTTTTTAAATTAACTTTTTTAATACGATTTTTAAACGTTATTTCATGTTTCTTCTTTTTTTTGGAAAAAGTTTTTATTATTCAAATATCAATTTAGTTAACATTTATTTTTGTTCATCTAATATTTTATATATACAAATGTACTTAAGTAGTTATAACTTTTTTTTCAAAAAAAAAACTTCAATTGTATTGTAAATAAAAAAATATATTATAATAAAATTATAAATTTTCCGCATTATTATTATTACTTTTAAATAGATTTTTACACAAACAAATCAAAACAATTAACAAAACAAACAAAATGGTATCTGCTGTAAAATCATTGTTGGTTATTGCCGTTATCGCCAGTGTTGCCTGTTCAGGTGAGCTCAAATTTTTAACTAATAATATATTTATGGTACATGTCATGAAACATAAAAGTTAAAATGTATAAAAAATATAAATAATCTATATATACGATATAAAAATGACGTGTTACTTTTTGTTCGGGGAAAACTCCTAAACTACTGAAGCGACTAAAATTTAGCACACTGTGTTCAGCTTGATCCAACTTAAAAGATAGGATAGTTTATATATAAATTATATTAAAAGTAATACAAATCATTAATAAGAAAAATGTGTTTCTAAACATATGCATGTGTTCAAAATTAACCTTGGATTCTTATACCGGCAACAACGTTTTCGCCTTTATTCGTAAATAATATTTTGACTTTATGGAATAGTTTATTCATTTAGTCGTTTTTAATGTATATCGTAACCACAGCAACGCTGAATACGACGTCGAAATTGTCCAACAATCTGGCGAATGGCGCTACAAAACTGAGCCGAAACCGAAAAATCAAGTCAAAGTCGAAAACGAGAGTCATTTCTCAGCCACCGAATACACCAAACCTGGCCTAAAAATTCGCTTCGGGAAACACGCCATAAATCCATTGAAGCCATTATAAGTCATTCGCTGAAGGCACTCTAGGCCAGCCGAGGCTTATAACAAGTGTATGGAAAATTGTATTAGGCGTTAGCATGCTTTTATGTTTATAAACCTGATCTTATTTGAAAAGTGCTGTTAAAAATGTGTAATAAAACCCGTGAACATGCCGCTTTTTCTTTTTTTTTCTCAGTAAAATTTGTTCAGTAATGGTATTCATACCATATAGGTATATAGGTTTCCGACGTGTCTTTCTGGGTGTTACAAACTTTGTGATAAACTGTACCTATACTCTAATATTTGTAACTTGTTTTTGATTTTTTAATTTAAATACATATTATAGTTATATATAAGTATCAATAATTCAGTAAATAGATTTGTTTACGCTTACCTGGGTCTTCCTAATGAGCAAATTATAATAATTCACATAACTTAAACCTTACACAGAAAATGCGCAGTTCATAACAGCTTCCATATAGCATACATACTTACTTATATATGTATGTATTTTTTAATTATTTACATTTACATATACATACATACATTAATTATTTATTTACATTCCATACGGTGTTAATTATAGTCAGTGACATGAAAAGTGACAATTTTAAATATTTTCCTTGACAGCAAATTATTTTTTTATAACAATAAAAACATAGAATCATTAAATAATATGTCGACTTGATTTGACGAAAATTTGAAAAAAAAATTAATAATTTTAAAACTAATGGCTGTTTGTGTTGATCCAGTTACAACCGAGCTTCTTTCGGTGACCATCACTAATCGTTGGAGATTAATCTAAAATTAATCGGACAAAAAAATTTATTTTATTAATAAATAATCTAGCGCCTGACCGATTTTTTTTTGTTTTTTTGGAAGTTAAGAAAATGGCGGTTTTAGGAATTCTTTTCAGGTTTTCAAGAAAAAACCAACAGTTAATTGTATATAGAAAATCGAAAAAAACAACCTTCAATCAGGCACTAGTTTTTCATAATTTCAAAAAACTGTATAAATTTCATGATAATCTACCGATCGGTTTTCGAACAACAGTAGTCACCAGTTCAAGAAACATAGATTGAAATTGTACGCTTCGCTTCGCCGATTGCTTACAGCTGCTGCTAGCTACCTGTTACCGGTACGTTTCGGAGCGCCTGAGAACCCTTTGTTAATTATCGAATAACTGGAAAAGTATGGATCGGACTTACTTCAAATTTTCAGAGAATATTTCAAAGATATTATACTTTAAGAAAATACAAAAACAATATATTTTTGAAGAAAAAGAAAGAAAACAAATGCCTACCTAAGCAATAATTTACTATATTATATTATAAAAAATTCAAATTCTATAGTAAATGCCATAATTAACACCTAGCGCTCTTTCTCTCCCTAGCCTTTGCCGTGCAGTGCTATATTTGTGACTCGGTCACCAATCCTAAGTGCGGTCAGAAATTCGAGGCAAGCGATGACATGAAATACGATTGCGCACGCGTATCGCCACCGCGCTTCCTGCAGAACTTCTTCAACGTGCACAATGCCACCGGTTGCATGAGGAAGGTACTCGATGGTAAGTAATGGATATCCGAAAACATAAATACAAAAAAGTGGGAAACATGCGTTTAAATCTCGTATGTAAACACATGCCAAATTCAAGCACACACATATAATATACAAAAGTAAATATACACATATATATATATTATATTTCACCTGGTTGGGTGACATAATTTCTCCGAAACTAATAAAACTAAAAGTTCTTGATTACAATTCGTTCGCTTGGCATTCGCTTTATGGCTGCCAGAGGTGCATGAATACATACAAGTATGTACATATGTACTTACATACATATGCATGTATATGTACATATGTACTTACATACATATAGTAGTATGTATATTTAAATGATATGTTAATGCCTTTCCGACGACTTATTACCAAATATGTCAATGATGTCATGCTCACCTGAAGATATAGTTAATTTATTTGCAAAATTTGCAATTCTTCTCATACACTAACAATACGAGAATATATGTACATACATATATGTAATATGGGTGTGTACACTTGGGTATAGGCATTAAGGGGGTTGCGTGTGCCTTATGCCGCGTCTTTATGTCATCACGATATAATGCTATTGCGCCTCAATTTCTAAGCGAAGCTCCTAAGCGAGCCGAAACCTGCAACCGGTTTCAAACATGTTCTTAACGGGGCCTTTGTACGCTGTAGAATTCTCGTATTGAAATATTTACACAGATACTAATTGTTACTAAATAAAACGATGAATGCATTGTAATTACGAAGTAATCTGTGCAATGCATTCAGTGCTATAGTGGTCCAATCTGAAAACGTTGTGCGGAGATTATAGTGTTGTCTTCAAAAATATTCCATGCCAAATTTCGTGAAGATATCTGGTTAAATAAAAATGTTTTCCAAAAAAGGGCTTAATTTTGATCGTTCGGTTTGTATGGCAGCTATATGCTATAGTGGTCCGATATCAGTGGTTCCGACAAATGAGCAGCTTCTTGAAAATAAAAGGACGTGTGCAAAATTTCAGATCGATATCTTAAAAACTTAGGAGCAATTTTGCGTATATACAGGCGGACAGACAGACGGATATGGCTAAATCGACTCAGCTCGTCATACTGATCATTTATGTATATATTTTATAAGGTCTCTGACGTTGCCTTTTAGCTGTTACAAACTTTGTGAGAAACTAAATATACTCTGTTCAGGGTACAAAATCGACCCGCTCCAATGTACTTGTATATTCTCATATATCATACTGAGTTCAAACGTGCGGGTGTGAATATTACTCTTTCATATTTAGTGAGTGAAGATCACAATCATCTCAACAATTCGTGGAGCATGTATCAAGCTAAAACTTTTAAAAATTAAGCGTAGAGCAAATTATTTGAAGATTTCAAATGCTTCAATTAAAATTAATATCAAAAAATTTAGCAATAAAACGCTATAAAAGAATTAATATACCACATACATGTACATAGGTATATACAATATACTCATAAGTATGTAGATATAGATATACATATATGAATCAAGAGTCAGGCAATCATTTATTCAAGTGGTTAGACATTATGTACATACATATTTGACTTGACTTTATGAACTATTAGTCTATATATACTTATACAATCATATATATTCTCAAATCGATGTAGCTATATAAAGAAATTATATTTTGAACATTTATTCTAGTGCAGTAATCGCCATTTGTTAAAGATTTCAAACGCATGCTTCACTCTGTCATATATGCACATAGGTATATACCATATATTTCATTTTGGAACAGCTTTACGAAAGAAGACATTCCGCTTTTAAACTATGTATTCCAAATTTCTTAATCTCTCTTTCTATTTGTCATTTCTTCAACTGATTTTTTCGTAATGCCTATATTTAGAAATTAATTCATTTGTGGATGAGATCATATTGAGGTTAAGTAGTCAGAACTGCAACCATATGCGCGACGAGTTCAACGACATTCTACTTATGAAGATATTTAAATATATGGGTATATCTACTTATGTACAGTTAAGTAATATTCATAATTTTTACCAAAGCATTGGTTTTTAAATTAGCAGAATTTCTTAAATCTTCTTTTCTACCTATCCAACACTTGGTGTTAAGTTGAGAGAGATAATTAAGGTTAGGTTTTACTATCCGCCATACATAGACCTACTGTATACAAGTCCTTAGTAATGCCCTATAGCAGTTCAGTTTTGTGTGACAAATACTTGCTACATAGAACCTCAACGCTTTCTGCGTACCTTAAGCGCGACTTGATATCTAATTCTGATACTTCATCTAGTTCCTTGAAGTGCGCAGCACCTAGATCTCTAAGGCGAGTTCTAGAGGATGTGTTCCAATGTCTCTCTCATGCCTACTTCCATGCACTTTCTGCATGGATCGTCGTTACTATTGCCGATCCGACTCGCATGTGATGGCAGTAAGTTGTGACTTGCGGCTAGGCCAACAACCGTCTTGCAGTTGTTTTGAAATCGTGTGAGTAAAAAGCATGCGTGCTTTTCTTCAGCAGCGGAGGTGTTAAGAAATGTTGTTGCATTCGAAGTTTTGTGGGCAAACAAAAATTATAAAAAAGTCATCAAATGTTATAAAATCTTTTACTTTTTCTATCGTTTCAGTTCCCGGACATCCACAGGTCATCCGTGGCTGCTTCTACGGTGATATTTCAAATACGCAATCCGGCTGCCAAGCCGATCCCTCTTTGCCATTCGTGAAGCAATTGTCGTGCGATGTCTGCAGTGGCAATCTCTGTAATGGCTCCAGCGCCACAGTCCCCATAGCCGCCGCCGTTGTACTTTTCTTCGCATTGGCACGCATGCTGTCCTAAGTTGATGGGCCGCCACTGTAATCGTCGCTGTTTGACAAAATACCATACAAAATTTAGTATAGGACCTCAACTTTTCTAACAAACAGCGTTCTAAATCTCAATAATCTGTATTCTTAGTGTAGTGTAGTTTTGTGCATTTTATTTGATCTTTTTACAATCATATGGCGATGGATTGCGCCCGAAATTATGCGACTATATGAAAGTACGCTAAACAAGCATGTATTTATATTTAAGTGCTCTTGAATGTTTTTAATTTTATTAAATAAAATGTGTGTAAATTGTAATTTTTCTATCTACCAATTGCTGAATTTTCCGAATTTTGTTTTAGTATTAAATTCTATTTGGAATCTTCTTCTTAATTATGAGAATAACTAAATTTATTGACAGATACAATGATGTTAGGGTACAATAATAGTAATTTTAAATTTATTGAGGGCTAGAAAAGTAATTCAAAATGTCTGAGATCAATTAACTTGGAATAGTATTTCTAGCGGGTGATATCTTTTGAGTCTTCTACGCTATGTATTATTGTTCAGCAGTTGGAACGCAGGTTCGATTTTATGGATCTACTACACTAAACTGGAGTTTTTTCTTCACATAGAAATGTAAGCCCACTACAGAAGTGGCATCTTGGTCTCAGAAGCCAGTACAGCTGAGTAAATCTTGTCCTGAGCTTGTATGTCTCTTCTTCAACCGTAAGCCCCAGGTAATGTTCGAAATTAAAAAATTTGAAAAAAAGTAAGAAAACACCAAGATCGGATTTTACTGAGACTCATAATATTTGGTGGAGATGGGGATGTCTGAGCTGATTGCATTTACTTTTCCATAATGCTAAAGTATTCTATCCTCGTCACCAAATTATACAATATCCAAAATATAATCATAATTTTGCTAAGATATATACCGATATAAATTGTATAAAGCCAACCAGAAGTTTTAAAATCCAAATATTAGGTAAGTACAATATTGGCGGGCTAGGGTAAGTACGTACTCCATATCTCAAAACTTGACCGATAATTTCATTTAAAAAAAATAGCCATAAGCACTGCGGTCCTCATATGCGTTATAAGTGGGTTTTTAAAGTTGGGGTTCGATGTCGGTTATTTGACATATGCAAGATAGCATATCTTTAGAGCTCTCTTTGTGTTAAGGTTTATTTCGAAATCTTTTCTGCTGTTTGATTTATCTATGTAAACTACTATTACAAAGAGGAAGGAGGAATTAAATAGGATCGGAAACTACTTGACGGAGTTGAAATATTCTTTCACCGTTGCAACGCGTAGGGAAGCTACATCCTCTACGGTGAACATAGGCTATATTATATTTTCAAAAACGTTAGGAATGCTTACTAAAACGCCCATAATGTAACCCAAGCTGTAAAAACTTACCCAAATAATTCCTTACATAGCGTGCGTAGGGAGTATATTGTTTATATAATAAAATAATGTACTAATGTGCCTAACTGTTATAGATACGTCAAAATAAGTGTTCTTTGGGTGTATGCATTAATTCGTGCGGTTTTCTAAGAGAGGGCTCTACTAGTATTATTTCGCGTCGTATTCATCTGTGGCTATATTCATTTCAAAGGTACTGCCATTTCGCGTCGTTTTCAGTAGATATAAATTGTTTGAGCGTGAACAACAATTTGTTTCATTCATTTGAAAATGTCGAAATTTGTACCAGATAAAGTGTTTTTGTGGGGAGTTCATCTTCATTATTTTAACATGAAGAAAAGTGCTGCCGAAAGCCATCGTATTTTACTGGACGTTTATGGTGACCATGCTTTAGCCAACCATCAACATCCACGGCAAAGCCGAATATCCATGCTGCTAAGGTTATGCTATGTATTTGGTGGGACCACAAGGGTGTGCTCTATTATGAGCTATTGAAATCGGGTCAGACGATCAATGGGGACCTCTACCGAAAACAATTGATTCGTTTGAAAAAGGCCATCGCGGAAAATCGACCAGAATATACGACCAGACACGAATCAATAATTTTTCACCATGACAACGCTCGGCCACATGTTGCAAGGCCAGTTAAACACTATTTGGAAAACTGTGGGTGGGAAGTTCTACCTCAGCCGCCTTATAGCCCAGACATAGCACCTTCCGATTACCACTTATTCAGATCAATGCAGAATGCCCTCACCGGAGTACGCTTCTCGGCGTGATCTGTGTTATATGATAAGCAGTCAGGATAGTCCAATTTTGCACATTTTCACACTGAAACATATATATTGAATGGAATTAGTCGGGCTGCTGCTGTTTCACCTACAAGTGGGCGGTGACACGTCCGTATACACCGAATCAAATATAGCTCGTCGTACCATCTTTAATGTAAAATTTAATTTTTTTTCCCCTTTTCAACATAATCTTTGAACTAATTTCATTATGCTGATCAAATTGGTATGCATAACCCTATAACTATCTCGATTAGTTTAAGGTGTTACAAACAATCGTTGGGTCAACAAACCTCTGTCTACTCGGTACAACAGATATAGGTACATATGAATATAAATTAAAACAATACCCGAACAATTTTCAAAAAGTAAAAGAATAATAGATTTTACAATAAATGCAGTCAGCTGAACAAATCGGAATATAAAATATTATTACATAAAAATATAATTTGTACGAGTATTTACTACACCAATCCTTAAAAAAATCATCGATATTTAATTAAAAATTTGTCTATGTATATAATAATCCACTTTAGAATGCAAGAAGAAGAAGGGCCAGCCAAAATATTTTTGTCGCAATTGGAGTAATAACTCTAATTTTAATTCAGGTCTAAATGCATGAATTCCGTAAAGTTTCATGAACTCTCGACTATACGAACTTCCAAATGCTCTTTGTTTTAAATAAGAGTTGAGCTTATGTGTGGGGCAGTTAGTTTGAAAAGCATGCATTTTGCACTTTACTAATGCTAAATTCCAAAACCAATCGACATAAAACACAGAGAAATAACTGCATAGTAATCACATCCAGCTGTTCTTAGCCACTCATTTATCATAGTGTGTCATGAATTATTCATTAACATTACCTGACTCAAGTGTCGTGCAATTAGCCATTAGCCATTACAATATATAGAAGTTATTCGCCACAAAATTTTGTTTAGAAATTGCAAAAGAGCTTTTTAAAAAAGCTCTCAATCTACTACAACAGTTCTCAAACTTTTGCGTGATCTACTTGGGTTGGCTTTTAGATCTTTAAATATAACAACAACTACTATTATCCATTAGCTCACCCAAATCAAAAGCAAAAAATGTAAACTTTTGCAATGTAAAAAGAAATAAATTGAACAATATCTACACTTTTAAAAGTCTCGATGATGTTTCTAATGCATAATAATATTTTTAGTATATGTTAATATAATATAATATATGTTTTATTTCAAATATTTTTCAATTTCAAGCTTGTAAAAATGATGCAACAACAAACGGCTCGATTGTGTCATGCTTGTATTAGCTCACATTGTCTGAAATGATCTCATATTTGTACAAAAAGGAGGAAAGGAAATATGATAACAGACCTTTGGGGATTACTAATACTCTCTTTGTTTCGAAATGTACTTCTCTCTGTACAGATTCCAACATGTACGTATATGCACCTATGGGGCTTTGACAGTTTTATTAGCAACCAACATGCACTTGAAGGAAAGTATTCTCGCATTGAAAATTAAAAAGGTTTTTAAAGAAGTAGAGTGAATTGGAGGAGTATTCGTATATCACCTTTTGAAAGAAGTGAGTTAACTGACTTGACTTATCAGTGGTGTAGGATACATATGTACATATGCACGCTTAAAATGTAACTCATACGCCATGTTGACTATTCTAAATTATGTTTATTCAAAGCTGGTTTTACTATGTAGAAGACATAAAATACTTGTTTCAAAGATACTGTCTAAAATTGTATCAATATTGATAATAGTGTAAAGCTCACTACTTAACTTTTTCCAAAACGAATTTTTTAAAAACCTAACGCAGTGAATTTTAAATACTACTTTACTTGTTACAGCACTAGGATATTTAATTGTTGAAACAATTCCAAAAGTTCATTGGCGCCACAACTAAACCCCCCTGTCGATGGTAGGAGTGGTTGGGTGCACTTAAACCTGGAGTGAATGGAATAGTCATACTCTAAGCGAAGTGATTTAACACAAATACTTACACATGACGTTTTAATAAAGTGAAGGGGATAATTCAGCGACAGAAAACGAACATGCAACAGGCTATTTGTTTGAACAACGAATGAGCACACTATTTTCTAGCGAGTAAGAACGCAAAACTATGAGTGTAGGAAACTGCGAGCAGTGTATATACGAAAAAACCACTAAATGGGCTAAACTACTTATACCACATGCACATGGATATCGTAAAAGGCACGAAGTGGCAATAAAAACTATGAGTTAATATTTCACCCACGCCACTGCTGATATTCACCGAATACACGTACTGAGAATTCTGCAAATAAATGTGAGAAAATATCTAGCTATAAATAAGTATTGTTAATTTCAACCCTGTGGAGCATACGTGCCACGAAGAAACCGTTATCACGGCATAATGAAAAATGCTTCGTAAAAACTTAGTAGAAACGGTGTCCTTGCTATAAGGAGATATTGCAAAAACATTTTCATATAATAATTATTTTGACGGAAGGATATTAATTATTGAATGTAAATTTCCCAACATTGCGGAATAAGTGAGAAATATAATAATGATACAAAACTATTTTCGATCTAGAGCTAGATGCGATCGGGTTGATAATATGATGCAATGGCCTCAGCATATAAGAGTATACATTTGTACTAAGAAGCGAAAAATAAAATATCAGTTCAATATCGCTAGCTCCTCCCATATCCCGATTATTTATATTCATATCCATCATATTGAATATTTTGAAGGATGACTGAAAGGATTTATCTTGACACAATGTTCAATTCATTTTTCATCCGAGCATATGCGTATTTGCTCTAGGTTAAATATTCAAAATCTAAAATCTAAATCAAACAAGAAACGAAAACAAGAAAAACATTAACTTCGGCTACACCGAATCTATAACACACTTCTTAGCTTCTTTTTTTGTAGGGTTATACCCGATAACAAAGATAGAATTTGATCGATCAGTTTGGATGGCAGCTTTATGCTATAGTGGTCTGATCTGAACAATTTGATCGGAGATTATAACCTTGCTTTGAGCAATAATATAAGCCTAATTTCGTGAAGATACCTCAACAATTAAAACTTGAGTTTGATCGTTCAGTTTTAGTTTGGCTATGATACTGCCTAGTGGTTCATTATCGGTGGTTCCGATAAATGAGAAGCAAAATTTCAGATCGATTTCTCAAAAACTAACGGACTAGTTCGCATATATAGATACGGACAGAGAGACAGACAGACGGACAAGACTCATCATGCTGATCATTTACATATAAATTTTTTAGAGTATCCGACATTTGCTTCCTGGAAGTGTCTTCGGCAAACTTAATATACCCTGTTCAGAGTATAAAAAATCCTTGTTTTGGCAAAAAATTTCAGCTGGAAAATTTCTAACAATATAGCGAGATAAATGTTAATACTAGATGGTCTGGGTATTAGGTAAAATCATAAAGGATGTTTTTTAACAAGAAAAAACTTCCACATGATACAAAAAGTACAGACAATTTTTAGAGTTATACCCATCTAGTATATACATTAGTAACGTCTATAGATGCATCTATATATTCATATATATGTATATGTTATACATTAGAGATGCCTTTAAATTACCATATAAAAATTTCCAGCTGGGTATATTATTGTTTATAGTCTGCTCAACAGGAGGCGGTCGACACGAAGCGTTTACATGCCAAAGAGTAATTAATGCCGACTGCCTGCCTGCACTCTGTCGCTCTACTCCAAACAAATATGCTGACGAAGGCAAACGCCGCGAGGAGCCTCGACCAACAATTGAGCCAATAAGTGAGCGGATATACTGTTGGAATAAAAGAGCAGAGGAAATAATAGAAAGAAAAACTATGGTGGAGAATGTGTGACTATTTGCATACATACAAACGTGAGTTGATGCATGAGCAGTATAAGTGCGAATAGGCAGGAGAATTCTATGCAAGAGATGCCTTCGATAGGTATCGGTATATTTAAAGGTGCTGCGGCAAATCAATGTGGAAAATTATAAGTTCATACTTACAGAGACATACGCGGATATATACATATGTGTGTGTATACGCGAAAGAGTTTTAATTATTTGCGGCATTAAACGTGTCTAAAAATTGTCTTTGGGGTTTTGGAAACTACACACATGGGGCAGTACAAAATCGGACGCGTGATTGTGTGGTTGGAAAACGGGCGTTCCGAAATGAATTATGTCGTGTAAATGATTATGAAAGAATATTTCAGAATAAATGGAAAAGTCAGATAAATAGTAGAGAAGGAGAGTGTAACACGCGGCAATTTGAAAGAGATCTAGTAAACAAAAAAAAAAAACAAAAAGCAAGATTAAAAAGTGGAAAAGGCAAAATACAAGAGCAATTTGTAAAAAAATTTCATAACTCTTGGAGGATCATAAAAGTATTAATACTCACAAATAGTACAAACATTGGTATGCATAACTGTAGTTGAGAATTCATTATATTTATTTTATCTCGAGATTATCTCGATAAAATATCAATGTGTGATCATTACTCCGCTGCAGTATATTGAAATCAACATTTAACAAATACAACTAAGAAAACGAGATCAGAAAATTCCGAAACCGAAAGCTATTTATACATACGGTACATACATACATATGAATATGTGCTCATAAAACGTACGCTTCCAGAGGCATCCAGTTGGATTTAATTGTGCAATAAATTTTGCGTTCTGCATCCGAGTATCACATACATATATACAAATCATCGATATTTTAAAATCTGGGATAATAAATTGAAAAGTATAAGCGAGCGACGCACGAAAAGAAGATGCACCGCATGTTTTGCTTAGTCATTTTGTTGCTCAGTTCGGTCGTGAATGGTTAGTATATACATATGTATATTGAAAGTTACATATAATACCCTTCACATATACAAAAAATGCATTACAAGAACTTGATTTTGATTAGTCAGTGTGTATGGCAGCTATATGCTATAGTGATTCGATCTGAACAAATTTTTGGGAGTTTGTATTGTTATCTTGGGGAACAATCGTTGTTAAATTACTTGAAGATATCTCGTCAAATGGAAAGGTTGTCCATACAAGCACTTGATTCCGACCGATCAGTTTGTAAGGCAGCTATTTGTTATAATTGTCCGATATCAGCGGTTCCGGCATATGAGCAGCTTTCTGTTGAGAAAAGGACGTGAACATAATTTCAAATCGATATCTCAAAAACTTATAGAATCTCCAATATTTCCTTATGGGTGTGACAAACTTTGTGGAAAGCTAAATATATCCTGTTCAGGATATAAAAATGCTTTGCTTTTCCCATTGAACACACTCCACAAGATCGAAAACGATGTGACAATTGTTATAATTTTTACATTTTTGTATCGATTCGATTGTTTTCTATGAACTTCGGCATCGTTCTACTCTGAACGGAGCATTTTAAGTTTGAAACGAATTTCCAGAAAGAACCTTTTGATCTTGTAAATTAATTTCTTGAAATATCGTAATATATACCTAAATTTTACGAAGGGCGAAGACTCTTTTTTGTAATTTTAAAACCACATACGCGTTTCTTCTTTGTGAAGAATATACATACATATAATATATTATGGTCATACTATGGTCGCGTGCTTATTGCCTACCAGAGTTCCATGAAGTATATATGATCATTATGGTATCCCGATTTGCACAGTAGTTATGAATCAATCTTGTGTGTTGATATATACATGTAACGCTATATTCCTGTGTGTACTTTATAACTTCAAGATCTTACAGGTCGCGATAATATAAAAATAAAGTTTTCAATTAGCTTTTTCATTAAATCACTAAATGGGTTTATTACGCTATTGGATGCAGGTACAGAGTGCTCTCACTCTCTGTACTATGGTTTCATAGTAAGTCGGAAGCACTCCCACTTCTCAGTACCTCGCTTCGATCGCAGTTTGCATCAAACTACGCAAGTTGTGTCTGCCCTTTAACAAGAAAAGGCAACTAAAACCTATAGGCCTCCCGAATATACTGACGAACTTCAGTCAGTAAATTATAAAAATATATATGGATGTATATGGATTTCTTCCTACCATGAATTTCTTTCTCTTTTTACCATTTCAAAAGCTTCTGCACTGGTCTAAATAAATTTTAGTGTAGATTAGTTGAAAATCTTTCAACGGGTGTGTCAACTGCTAATTCTAGACGAAATTTTATATATGAGCAACTGCTTGACCGATTTCAACCAAACGCAGTTGGTAACAACTACATTAGATTTCTGGATTACCGAGAGATTATAACATCCCCTATCTCTCCGCCATCTCAAAATTTTGAATTGCATCAGGTTCTTTCACCACACAAAGATGAGTAAAGCTTAATGAAGGTATAGCAAACAAAAATAAACCCAAATAGTGGGTTGCAATGTGACTTCTCCGGCTTCAGAGAAAACTTTTGAAATTACTTTAAACTTTGGAATGCCGACATATTTGCTCAGCTTAGGTTAGAAAAAAAAAAACTGACAGTTAACTTAAATCTAGCAAAATTAATTACTAATGAATAAAATTACACAAATTCTCAAACATTAATGCAGTGATATTGAATAAATTAGAGGATACCCTTTTGGATGGTGCATTAACAAGCACCAGATGATGTTTGACTTAAGGTGATAAATGATAATAACCAAAAAGCCAGAGAGTTGACTTACAACATGACATAAACAACTGCCATGAAATAAACTACGAAACTACAAAAGAATTGGCAATAACTGTGATACCTATACTCATATGCCGTCGTCGGCAGAAAAATTGTTAAATAGTTGAATTACGATTCCTATTGCCTACGGTATACCTGAATATGATGTAATGTTTTCACCCTGCATTAAAAACTAATCCTCCACCAATTTACAAATATTCTTTTATGCATCATTTTCTCAATAAAATATGCTTTCAGTTATTTAAAGTCGGCTGTCTGCACACAAAATAAATACTAACACCAAAAAATATTAACAAATAAGTTTAATAATATTACAACATATGTAATTTATATCTTATTTTCAATAGCTTGGGCCATCCAATGTTACTCATGTGAATCAGTCTACCACTCAAGTTGTGGGGATGACTTCGACATGGAAAACCAATTTAAATTGGATTGCTCACATGTTCCGCCACCGCGTTATCTCGGAAACGACTTGGACTTGCGAAACGCAACTGGTTGTATGAAACGGACTTATAAAGGTGATTAAATACATACTGTAATTCATTACTTCTACTACTTATTTAAATGTTAACACTAGACTCTAGGTTAGATTGATTTCATAAATATGCCCGAAATAGTATCAATCGAAACCAATAAGGCAAAAACTCTAGCTTGGTATAATGAATGAATATATAGTGAGCACTTTAAAAGTTAATCGAGTGGATAGGTAGGTATGTTGGAGTACAGCTCGTTCGGCCTCAATCAGCGCTAGATGCGCCATTTTTATACACTCTCGTAGAACCTTTAAATCTCGATATAGCAAGATCGTTGTGTTCAAACCATTTCGTGCCCTCAAGGAAACTAATTATCTTCGTTATGCTTTTTGTTCACAGGCATTCAAGGTTTGATAACTGATGGATTCCTAGAGTTCCATAGCCGGTTTGTGATAGAGCTGGGGACTCACAGAGAAAGTGTCGAACCGTTTTCCTATTCCCTTCGAGTTTCCAGCTGCGACAAATATTGTTATAGGACATTCCCATTTTTAACATATGTGCTTCAAATGACCAACGCTCCGTTATGGTAGCTGTAAGTATGTATATGGGGTATAGTTTGAGATGGTATCCTTGAGGTTCAATCTCTTTTCTATTCACATCTAGAGAATATTCTCTCTTGGAAGTAACTATTGAAATCCAAGCTTAAGAGGTTCTATTTCGATTTATCTAGATTTGTTTTGAGACATTTCAGAATATCAGAATATCGCTATGTACATAACTCTTCCTGTTCCAACCACGTAACTCCTTATTCGAGCAATATTTGAAACACTATATCGATTTCCACCAGATCATGCATAATCCAAGCGTTATGAAATATGCCGAAGAAGGGCAAAGTACATTCAAAATTTGTTTATAAAACGTCCACACAATTTTACGATGAACATTTCTAATTATGCATGTGTATTTGCTTTCATTCATTCACAGTGGGAGATCTCCTTAGGATCGAACGCAGTTGCTTTTTCGGTGACATGGACGACACGGACAGCGGTTGTCAACTGGATCCAGTAACGGAAAAAGCGGAGCCAATATCGTGTAATGTCTGTGACACTGAGGACTTCTGCAATCACAGTAACCAACTGAAGGCATGGCCGCAATATTTATCGATCGTTTCCTTCGCGTTTACGGTGAAATTCTTCAATTGGCTGAGCTAAAGTATAATAAATGCAGAAGCTCAACTCTGCTTTCTTCAGTATCCAGCTCCAATAGAAAGACATAAAATTAGCCGAATTCATCTGTTGATGTTGAGCGAAATACTATTTGTTATTTGTTTTTGTAGCGAGTAGTGAAGCAAAGTATTTTAAATAAATAAAAACAAATTAAAATATAGAATGAAAAGTGTAAGTTTTATGCTTCCTGACCACTGCCTTGAGACTTCTGACTATTGCATCTGATAGTTGGGCAATGATATTAGCCTTGATTTTGTTGACTGACGGGGTGCTCAATACTAGTGAAAAGATTTCTAGACTCCTTGTCTCTAACCTCGAGTTACTACATGATTAGACTGGTTTGGGTGCCTGGCTACAGCGGTATTGGAGGAAATCGCAACGCTAATGAGCTTGCTAGAACAGGTACTCCAGTCTGAAGGGATAGGGTAGGAGCTCCGTTGGCTTCTTGCGATTCACTACTGAATTGTTGTAGCCCTCAGATCAGCTCAGCAGACGTTTGGCAACTACTAGCAATAAGTAGTGTAGTCGCAGGGTCCTTCTGACCCAGGGAAAATCGTAACAGGTCTAGTGAACTATTCGCTCTCAGAAAATTCCACCTTTCAATGGTTGTAGGAGCTCTAATTGAACATTGTCCAATCGGAAATCATGCGGTAAGACTGAACATTTTAACGGATGCCATTTGCATCAGCTGCTTCGTAAAAAGATGAGATAGAATCATCTCAACACCTCCTCGATTTTGACAGATCAAGGTTAAAATACCTTAGATCTCATACTTTTTGACATCCAGGCGAAATAGCGGAAATAGAAATATGGTAAATCACCTAAGCAGATTTGTGATAGGTTCAGGGTACTTTGTCGATAACTGATATCCAACTGCAGTATTTTTTTGACTGACTTCATAAAGGACTGTACTCAACAGTCTAAGTGTGATCCGCCGCCAAGTTGAAATATCTATCTAACCTAACCTAGTATGAAACATTCTGTTGGTATTTTCAACAATAATAAAGCAGCGAGATAAACCGAATTCATCGAAAGTTGTACTATCGAAAAGCACATCAGAGCAAATAGTCGCCGGTTTGGTCGAAATCAATAGTCGCTATTACAATTTTATTAGAGTAATGTAAGAGAGTTACTTCCGATTGATTCATAAATATTATTTTCTTTGTGGATTTGATAATTTGATGACGCTCTTTCCCTATCAGCAGCGATCTTTCGCCAACGCAAAATATTCGGAAACAAATTATTGCGAGAATTTTATTTTTAAATTTTCACCTCTCTCTCTTTTGAGTATTGTCACATACATTCATGACATTCCCGTTGAGTTTACTCTCTAATTGAGTTTATAATTTATTTAAACATATAAGTAAAAAGGAAAATGGGCGTATTTATGTTGATTAGGGTCGCCGAGAATTACGAATATTTAGAATAATAATCAAAAAACATATTTTTGAAAAAAACACATTTTACACGATTGTTTTAGAGCGCCCGAGGAGCCTTTGCTAATTATCGAAAACCTCGAAGAGAGGTTATACTTACCTTGCGATGTACTTAGTCACAACGATTAAAGTACATATTATTTAATTTACGTTATAAATCGATTTCGAGTAATATAGGGATCTCAAAATTATTTAGATCAGTGGTTGACTCTAATAAAGTATCTTCAAATATCACTTATTTCATTCAATCTAGGTTAACAACTTAGACGATCGTGTACATGATCAGGAATTGCTTATAAATTATTTGAAACATGAGACACAAATTGAAGAACAGATAATTAATAGGCAAATCCGAATAAATTATTTCAATAATTTTTGTTATTGATAACTCCACTTTTATGCAAATTATTTATATAAGACTGATTGCATGTGGAAAATAAGATAGCAATCGTTGATCAGCAACCAGCGCTCACGCGATGAGGAGGACGGAACTTGTCTCCTTCATTTTGCCCTCCACTGTCGATCTATCACCAGACTAAGGTTGAAGTATCTTGGTTGCCATATTTTCTACGAACCTAGCGAACTAGCTTTGTCGATATCCGACGGTACTTGTGACCCAAACCTTGGAGTTCTGGATATCACAATGGACAGCTCTATTATCTATTATCAGCCTATTTACCTAACCTCACCTAACATTCTTCACTTAACTGTTCACTGTTAGAAGATTAATTTGAGATTTCAAATGTATTGGAAATACAGAGCTCCAATTCTCTTTTCTCTAATATGTTGTATAGCCCCTAATTGCCGTAATGGGCATAGTAAATGTATTCAAAATAATATACTACTATATAAATAATAATAATAGTAAGAACGTACTTAAAATGTTAAGCTGATCCACCAACTTTTGAGAAACAGCAATGAATTTCAGCACAAATAGGGTTTCCATGGGATGCAACTAGGGAAATGAGATGTTCCCAAATAATCTGCTAATTATATCGTAAGTTATGGTGAGTCTCACCTTCTCAACTCTTTATGTAAAATTCCTTTAAATTTGTAACAATTTAGATCACCCTAGTAATAGTATGTACTTTGTACATACATACATATATACAATCCAAATACATGACTGTCGCTCATGGCCATGGTCTATGGAGAGACAAATTTATTTTCAATTTCATGGTTTAATTTCCATTTCGCTGAACATTTTTAGTTATGATCTAGTTGAAATAAGGGAAACAACTCGAGAACAAGCGAACATATTAGATTAACATTTATTCTAGATAAACGTAAATATTTTATTATTTCGAAAACCGATTTTTCTTTATGCAATGAGAGCAATTTTATTAGTTGTGCTAATTTGTGCCTTCATATCCACTGGTAAGTGAAAACAGTTAACTAAAAGGACATGTTTCAATAAAAATCACATTTCATTACATTTCCGTTATGGAATTACAATAGCTTTTGGCATTGGTTGCTATGACTGTGAATCGCTTAGTGATCCGCGCTGTAATCAATATTTCGATCCTGATGGCGTCAGGCAAACTGATTGTGATGAGGCGGATATGCCAGCATACTTACATAAATATGAGCGGCGCATCGCAGGTACCGGCTGTTTGACGAAAGTGCACGAAGGCTGTAAGTTCATATATATGGCATAAGATGCTTTTGAAACTCTAGTAATCTCTTTTCAACAGCTTAGACGAAGAACACTAATATTTCTCAAAATACAATTAAATATCGCTTATGTTACTCTTATTTATTTTATTCTTTACATCAGTGGATGGCCGTCGTTTCTATATACGTCGTAGTTGTTATTTCGGGGATCCAGAAAATATAGGCGAAGCTTGTGATACCCCCGATCCATACGTTCCTTGGGTCAATTTGATTTCATGTACTGTCTGCACCGAGGATCTTTGCAATGTGAACGCGCCACTCAACGGAGCCCATCATTCAACGAATGCTTGGCCAAAACTCACATTGGTCGGACTAACTTTAGCGGCAATGACTTTACACTATACACATAAACTTTATAACTAAAATGCTAATCGCACATACAGTGAACAAAGAAAACTTGCACAGAGTGACTTTGAAAGGACTTTTGAAATTAACTATTCAGCTTTTGAGCTGAAACGAAGAGTAACAATATGCGAATCTTATGTATTTTTCGTTTTTTATAAAAATTATAACAATAAATCAATTTTGATGTTAACGATTACAAAAAAATTGAAATATCTCACTTTTGAGTAGCAAAAAAACCCTTTAGACTTACTTTGGCAACACTTTCAATGCAATTATCTACTGGTACCGTTATTTTTGTATCCTAATATTTGCGTGTGGTCAAACCGTATTACTTGGTAAGTGAATTTCTTTTATGCGGTTGTAGTTTTTGTAGAAAAAATTATATATAAACAAATATTTACAGGCTCTGGTAGGAAAACATTAGCAAGAGAAGAAGAGTACTCACGAAATAGGCAATATTTAAAAAAAAAAATACATGTACTGTTCAGTACATTATTGCTAAATTCGAAAAGACTGGTGAAGTCAAATAACTTAATTTGCGCGCCCCAGGCTAAAAGTAAAGTTGCTCGGATTGTCAAAGAACACCCCAAAATATCCGCTGTCGGTAACGTCAAGTAGCTGGAGGAAGCTGGCATTGCAAAAGTTCACCTTAAACTGCTTTGCGTGCGTTTAGCAGACACTGGTCGACGACCCGCTTCTGTGCGACTGCAAGATTTTTTTGACCTAAAGTAGAACGCAGGAGATCTTCTGAAGTACTAGCCCTATGCAAAGTTCATCTTGTTGCAATCGTTCTTACTGAACACTGTCGAATAGACAGTCATACGTAAGTCTAAAAATCTTAATGAACGCAAGTTGTCAATCTTATATGGAAGAGGGTAAGCTGCAAACATCCATGCACTTTCTCCGCCATTGTCCAGACTTTGCAAGACTGAGGTTAAAAAATCTCGACAATTGCAGAAACTGGCATTAACCGTCTCAACAAATTTGTGATAGGCTTAAAGCGCTTTGTCGATTTTTAAGGGTCTAGTGATTTCTTATATGAAAGTTTTAGGTAAAATATCGGTCTGGCGTTTTAAGCTGTCCCAGTGTAATCCCTGTTAGGATCACCTTATAAACTTACTTGAACATCATTTATTCAGAATTTTTATGAAAATATAAAGACAGTTTGAAGAAACCTACTATAATTTAAAGCTGATTTACACAATGGTCTTGTTCCAAAATAATTAGGAAATCAAACTCATCATCCCAAACTTCTGGCTATATCGAATAGATTGTTGTCTTTCCAATTGATCGGCTTTAATAGTGATAATAGAAGACTTATCTATGTACCACCAACTTACCTTATTTGAATTCAAGGTGAGAACTACTCCATTCAGGGACGAATCTACGTGTCACTTGGATTTTAAATATCATAACATATGGACTATTACGCTATAATATCACATGTACTCCTTCCATATTCTTTACTTAAAAATTTCGTCCAGACAATACAAAGTTTTAGGGGCAGCAAGGTCAATTCACACAAAAACAGCATGTTTTGGTGAATTTTTTGTGAAGAGAAAGAAATGTTGTGTAACGCTTTCACTAAGCCATGCAAAACAAGAACCAAAAAAAAGAGCAACTCGCAGAAAGGACGGGTGCAAAATTTCAGACCACTAATCATTTGAAGAGTCTCTGGCGTTTCCTTCAGGATATAAAAATATGGCAATGGGAGCAATTATTCGAACATGTTTTGAATATGGTGCTGGATCATCTAAAATCTAAAAATCCATATTCATTCGATAGATAATAGTTTCAAAATAGAAATAAAAAAACTCAAAAACTTGTTTATTCAAAATTTTCACATAAATTTTAAGGTTTTTATCAAAAAATGTGCATACAAAAATTGTAGATATTTTCATTACCTACAACTATAACTTTTTTCTATAAGACTCGTAGTTTTGCCAGAAATCGAGATAAAGCTTCTTAGCACTTAAAAATTTAACCACGTCCAACACAACTATAACAAATATCAAAACTCAATGTATATATGTATATTCCATTTATAATTTTTCGCACAAAATTCTTGCATGTGGCATTTTTATTAAATTATGACAATTTCTTTAATATATGTATAATATTATCAACATATTCATATATATATATATTGTTCTTATTATTTTTGAGTTTTTTTGTTTTTTTTTTTGATTTTTTTATTTTGTGTCACAATAATAATAGCAATTAAAACTTGAATATTTCTTTAATACAATAATAATAATTTAATTACAATAATCGGAGTAGCCATAATACGTATTATTATTTTATTATGTAATTTGTAATAGTAACGCTAAAGGTTAAAATGTTTGCATTTATGTCAGTTTATATTCAACCATATTACTCCTACTTTAATGCATTTTCCATTGCAACAAAATTTTTTTAATGAATAAGCATTCAGTGAAAATTAGTGTGTAGACGAATAACCGAACGCACTATGCATAATATAGGTAACCTATTACGTAAGAAATATGTGGACAGCAATACATTAATATTTATATTCACGTTTATGTTTATTAACACTTTATATTAATAGTTTATTATTTAAAAAAACAGTAGCTAGTACGTTGTATATATATGTATATATATACATATATACATATATACACATATACACTAGGGTGTCCGTTGTTTCTCAAGTTGATTATGTTTTTGCAAACGCCCCTGAAGTTCCAGTTTTTTCAACTAAAAAGGTTTTAACGTAAACTGAAGAGCTTGTTCAATTGAAATCGTACCTAAATCATTTTACTTTTCCCTTATATTTAATATGGGATTTCTTGATCTTTTGCAATAAAACTTTTATCTTCAAAACAAATAAACCTACAACTTTGAAATAATTATCCTTTAATGCAAAATTTTCCGCTCTACAAAAAGGGTCCACATAATTTTTTTACGTAAAACCTTTCCTTCAAAAGTTATACGCAGTCAAAGGTATGTATCAAATGTACTGTATTCATTTAGTACACCATGTCGTATGAGTAACAAAGAATGTATAAACCACTTGTATGAATGCTCAGTACATTTTATGTCAACTTTAACTGCGTTTAACTTTAAAGGCATATTTTTATCTTTTTTGTAAAGCGAAAATTTGTGTATTAGAACATCACTTACTCAAAGTTGCAGATTTACTTTTTTAATGCAAAATATCAAAAAATCCCATGTTATATACATGAGAGAGATATTTGATTTAGGTACGGTTTAAATTGAAAGTAAAGAGCTTGTTTACATTTTATTATTTGGTTTAGAGGCAACAACTGAAACTTCAATGGGCGTTTGCAAAAAAACAATCAATCAACACCCTGATACACATATATTTGTATGACATTTATATGAGTTTTGTTTAGTTGAATGCAGAAAAACAATTTCCTCGGTAGATATACAACAAATATATATATAATATACACGTTTCAAATTGCTGTACTACACATACACACACAGTTACAAACAACAAGTAGTAAACAGAAAGATCGACATCGTTAATTTATAGTTTTTATTTGATAAATATTTACTATTTTGATTCAGTTTGGTGTATGCATTGGAGTATATATTTGTAATTATTTTCTTTATCTAACACACATATTTCAAGATCTACACATTTAGCATAACAAAAAGACGATTTCGTACATGTAATAATTTAGTTGTGATTCTCTTGCTGTAAATACATATTCTTATTTCGTTAGTCACTTAAATATTTATATATTATATTATATTATATTTATTGCTGCTAACTTTTGTTAATTTTATTCTAAATCATTAGCATTATTCATTAAATTATTTCACTTATTATTACGTAAATTTTTACTCAATAACTGATTGATCAAATCGCATAACAACGTAAAATTAATTTACTTTAAACACACAAAATCATGCTTACACCCATACATACATACATTTGAGTATGTATATGTATATGTAGTGAAGTTTATACAAAATCTTACATAATTTCTTGAAAAACTAATCATAAAAATACTGATAAATATTGTTGAATTCTCAGCTGCACAGCACAACACATATGTATAACGATAATCGCAACAACAACTGTAGCAAACACTGCAAATTAGCAATTAGCTTAGCGCCTCAATGACAAAATGGAAAACGGTAAACAAACGTTATTAACATATTTAAACAAAACGAGAATATTTTCATTTATTTATCTTCTTTTTCGTGCTAGACAAAGCATAAATCAGAAATCGTTATATAACTTTACTTAACTATTGTTGAACATATGAATTTATTTTGGTAAAAAATAGCAAGAACTCGCTCTTAATGTATCTTTGTATGTGTATCTTGTGTAATAGGACACTTAGTATGCTTAGGCTAGTTACATAATAAACTTAAACAAGTCGATGTATCATGTTTGCACTAAAATGTCCGTCTCAAACGTACTCATATTTCATTCATATCAAATAAATATAAAATCCAATATTGAATTTGTTGTAGCACAACCAAACAGAATAACAAAAGCCAAGCTTTATAACATTTCGAGTAGCATGAACACATATAAAGCTGTATCCGCGCCTGAAGGTATGCAAGTAATTGCAAATAGCAAGTTTGCCAAACTCTTTGCTGTCCTGTATTTTGTAAAACACAATAATCCTAAATAGCATAAAATGTAAAATGACTTTAGAGAACAAAAAATAGAAAAAATTATATTTTGTATTGAATCGAGTAACCATACCTTGAAACAGTGCAGTCATTGATATTTTATTTTTTTTAGTTATAATTTGTAAGTTTTTCATATACATACAAACATTAACCATAAAGTTAAGGTAAAGATATATTTAAAAAAGTTCCACTAAAACGAACGCATAATTCTTTCAACCAGAGTTAGTAAATAATACATTAAAATAATGTTGTTGATTTTGTAATTTCGAAAATCTTAAATAAAAATTAGTTTTTAATTTTTAAGCCCAAAAAATAAAAAAATTTAAAAAAGAAAATCCTAATAACCGGATTTAAAATAAAAAATTATATAATAATAAATTAACAATTTAATACAAAACGAAGAAAAATTAATCCAAAAAGCCGGATTTAAAATTAAAAAGTAAAAAAAATAATCCCAGGCTTATAATTAAAAATTAAAAAAGAAATCGTTTTAGAATTTACATTTTTGCGCGTTTGGGTGATTTAATGGTAAATTTTGTTATCTTTTGAAAAAGAACGGTAAATTTTTAATGAAACATCAAAATAGTTTAGCACTTTTGGTCTTATTTATACTAAATTGCTTTTATTATATTGATTCAGTAAGAAAACTGTATATCTTTACTTTTTTATGCCTTTTCATTCCAGCTTCCAATTTGAAAAATATTTTTTTTTATTTGTTACTCCAATTTTTAAATTAAAAAATGATTTATTAATTTTTATTCCAAGATATTTGGGATAAAAGTTAAAATTTTCTAATTTAATTGAGTTGCAAGAATAAAAAATTAAAATAGCTTATATATTCAATTTTCAAATTAAAAATGTTTGTTATTAAATTAAAAAGTTTAATTTTCAAATTTTAAATTTTAATCCAAGAAGTTAAATTTTTAATCCAAATCATCTTGAATTAAATTTTTACAATTGAGAGAGAACATTTTTTAAAAAATAAGGAGAAAACATTTTTTAAAAATTAGGTTTTCAATTTTTAATCTCAAAATCAGAATGCAAAATCTAAAATTTAAGTTTTGATTTGAAAGTTTAATATGTAATCCAAGATGTTAAAATTAAAAATTTAAAATATAATTTTTATTCCAAAATGTTTTAATAAAAAATTACGCAGTCTGCTTTTAACTAATTAAATTAAGGTTAGATTTGAATTTATCGAAAATTTTTCCATATAACGTTAAATGCAAACGAGTAAAATAGTGTTAATTCAAGAATGAAAATTGTAGAACACTTAAAAACACGCATCTCCCGATACAAATGGAATGTTTTTCTCTAAGCGAATTCATACATTTCAGACAGTTTTTTTTATGTAATATATAGCCAAAACATATTGCTCTATTTGTATGTACAAATATGTACACAACCACACGCATACAATGTGGCTAAGTTAAGCTTTTTGCAGTGACTGATAAAAAGCACTTGGTCACCATGCAGATCTGAACGCAGTCAAAGAATCCCAAAGTCATTTTACCTATCCAGGATTATTTAATATGTTCTAAATCAACTATTTTCAGAAAATAAATTTTTAGTGCAAACTTTTTTACTGAAATTTGCCACACCTATTAACGTGCAAAATATCTCAAGACACAGCCATACTTGCACGCACTAAAATTGAGGCATCAATAACTTATGGATGTTTGCATGTAACACATGATTTGACTAGATTAACTCGAATTGTTTAATAAAAAAATTTGCTAAAAGTTACACATCATTTCTTCTTTGCACTTCTTACTTTTTGTATATTTTCAAATTTTGCTAACATACTAAATCTGCAAGTCCAACGATACCCAACTGCTTAAACAGCAGCTCAGCCAGCGTGCAAAATGCCACAACAGCAAAAAAACTGAATGAAAATGAAAAACATGAAATATTAAAATTCTTGTGTACAATTTGTATTTCACTCTCGTGTTTATATATTTATTTCATAATATTTTTGAATAATACATTTCAAGCGGCCACATTTGCGCCACATTTACTCTTAAAAAAATACAAATAACAATAAATACTATGCGTAAATCGTTTAGTCATATTTAGCTCTATTTATATTAAGAAACTTAAGAAACGCTTCTTATTTTATTATCAACAATTTATGTGCTTCAATTAATTCAATTTTAAATTAATTAATTCAATTTTATATTAGCAATTAAATGTAATGAAATGAGATCAATTATGTATTAGGTGCAATTATTTACAAAGCATATATGAAAAACTAAAACAAAAACACAAACAAAAAGTATGAGTAAAAAGTAAAGGCTTCTAATTGAAAATCAATTACTTACTTTACAAAACATTGTCTGTTGTTGGCATTCATTACAAATTAACATTACAGCATTATATATGTATATATGTATATCATCTTCACAGAGCAATGCGGCGCAACTGTACTGACCATTACATGCAAATTTTGGCGTTTTCTTGTCAACAGTTATAAACTTTACTTCTTCATTTCTTCATTTATTATGTTATGCATTTTTGGATATTTAGCTTTTTTGCTGCCGATTGGCTTGGGTTGGCTTTCGTTTATTCTGTTTCATTCCTAGTTATTATTGTTTCAACTATTCAACTATATAAACACCGTTATGGGTATATGTGTTTACTATATGTATACTTTTGTTTATATGTAGCTAATTAATATAATTCTATAAAGTAAATCTCTTAAACACTTAGTAAACTAGCAAAAACATTTATTTATACTTATTAACGCAGTATATTTGCTTCCTGCTCCTAGTATACTAATAATTAATGATTCTCGTTTGCTGTATATAATATTAGAACGCGTTATTTGTTAGTGCAAGTTGTTTCGTAAATATGCATAAATAATATTCATTATGTACATATATTGATGTTCAGTTTTACAAGTTGTGTAACACATGTTTTAATTATTCGTTTTTTTTTTCTCTTTTTGCTTTTTAGCTTTAATGCATATAATGTATATACACTAGGGTGTCCGTTATTTACCAAGTCGATTTGTTTGCAAACGGCCACTGAAGTTTCCGTTTCTGCGCTAAAAAAGTAAAAAAAAAAAATTAAACAAAGCCGTAAACAAGCCTTTATTTTCATCGAAAGCGTGTCTAAATTATTTTCCTCATATTTACATGGGATTTCTTTATATTTAGCAATAAATTATATATATATAATACTAAATTTTCTCCTCTACAAAAAAGGTCTAAATAATTTTTTTCGTAAAACCTTTCTTTTAAAAGTTATACGCATTTAAAGTTATGCTGCAAATGTGATGTATTGATTTAGTACACCATGTTGTATGAGCAACACAGAATCCGTTCCTTTTCCATATTATATATGTACATACATACATTGGAAAAGAAATATGATTTAGGCACGGCTTAAACAGAAAAAAAAGCGTTTCTTTATGATTTTTTTTGTTTTTTTAGAGCAAAAACTGAAACTTCAAAGTGCGCTTGCAAATACACAAAAAACGCAATCAACTTGGAAAATAACGCACACTCTCATATACACGTACATAAATTTGCATGTTCTGTTATAATTTGTTAGTGCGCTCGAAAAAATTGAGCAGTTCATTTCAATGCGAGTTCACAAAAGTAATCAACATTTCAATCTGGACACATTATCGTCATGAACGACATTACATGTAATCACAAGAACGAATGACATACATACATAGGTAACTTAAAAAATAAAATAACGGAAATTCCTTTAACAACACAGTGAACATCGCAACCAATAACAATACAATTCCTCCAATGATGAAAACGCTTGTATACAACAATAATAATTATAACAATATAACTGCTGTGGTTGTAGTAATAGTGACGATAGCAATAATTATAATATATAATGATGTTACATAATAATAAACTTAAATCAGGGTTACAATAGAAATTATAGCAAAATCAGTCGGACGTTGTTTATATCCTTCATTTAAATTGAGTGGTTTTTTCTTCTAAATATACAAAGATTTATGCATATATATATAACTAACTTGAAATTTATTAACGTTAGTTATGCTAACTAAGTTTTTGTTTTTTTTTTTAAACGCATTACTAGTAGTCACTAAATATGTAAGAATTTCTAATGTTGAGCATCACAAAACGTAGGTTTTGATGTTATAATTATCATAATGACTTTTTACAGAAATTAATATTATATCACGCTGATTGTCAAACCTTGATATCGCTCAAATTGAAACTTCAGGAAATAATGCGATTCTGGTTAAAGAATATTCAGTTGAAACTAATTTAAACCACTTCAGGAAGTTTAAGATCAACTCAAAACGTGTAAAATTAAAAAAAAAATTTTCATAAAAGACATACGTTTGAGTAGAGTTGCAATAGTCAAAGCCAATCTGAATTTTTTTCTCTTTTTTTTTTATATTTCATACATGTGTGTGCTTATCAGGATTGCAAATAATGCATTAAAAAATTAATTTTGTTTTGTTTTTGTGATAATTTTGAAATTTTTAATCTTAAATACCGTATTGAAAAAAAAATTTTTGATCCTAAATACGGAATTTAAAAAAAATTTCGGACTGCAAAACAAAAATTTTATCCCAAGCATTAAGAAAGAAAAAACTGAAATTGTTTTAGAATTCACATTTTTTTGTGTTTGGGTACTTCGCTATCATCTTCAATATAATTCATCATAATTCAGATTTGCGATTAAAAGTTTAATTTCAAATTTTACTATTGAAGTAAAAAAAAAAATTATTTTCAACTTTTAATCCCAAATATATTGGAATAAAAATTAAAAATCTAATTTTTAGATTGAAAATGAAAATGAAAAATTTTTAACTAAAAATTGGAATTTAATCTGAAAAATTAAAATTGAAAATTAAGAATTTTAGTTAAAAATTGGATTTATACTTTTCAATCTCAAAATCGGAATTAAAAATTAAAATTAATTTTTTTATTTTCAATCCAAGATGTTTTCAAATATTATTAACTTTTAATACAAAATTTTGAATCACAAAATTTGCAACCCTGTTCGTACATGTATATGCTTATGTTATGTTGTGCTATGCCATTTTTCAGTTAAAGCCGTCAATTGGCGCATTGATGCGTCTCAAAGCAGACTTGCAATACACTTTACTACAATCTTTTCAACTTCACAAATTGTGTGCTAATTTCATTTGCCAAATGCAAGCTGTGTTTACACAATTAGGAAGAACTATATGGTATATTCCGCCAACTGTATGATTTAAAAGCAATAAAACAGTATTTGTTAACAAATTGATATAGCAAACAAGTTGGCGTCAACTGGTTGGCAACTTAAAAATTACTTATTTTCAAAATCAACGTCATCTGCATGAGCACGTGTGTCACATTTTGATATTTTCTCGTATTTACACTGCTTGTTTGCTTAGTCATGCACAAGGCGCGCAACTAACATTTTCTAACGAGTACAATGTTTATGCAAATTTATTGTTTATTGTTTGTCAACGCCATGCCATCCCATTTCAAGTTCATTTATTTCTACTTTTTTTATAATAAAAGTGTTTTACTGCTTGCATTGATTTCATTCACCGAGTATTTCTTTGTTTTGCTGCTTCGTTTTACAACATGTATTTTATATAATATATTAGCTATTGTTACAACAACTATATAGGTATATATATGTATATATGTATGTATTATATTAATTTCTGTTTACTACTAACACTCATCAAATAGCGCGATGACAATCCAGCCACGAGAATTGTTTAATGTATAAGGTATATGTATAGGTATATATTATAATATATGTATACGTAAAATACTGCGCCTTGAACAACTCACTCTACCTATGCTGCTCCACAATATAGCTGATCAACACCATCAGCATAATCAGTATCAGCATCATCAACATCACTCAAAAGAAGACATTCTCGGCGGGCAATTTCGAATGAAATATTTTCGTTTTACATTTTAAATTTTCTCTGCTTTGAATTGTAGGCGAATCGATCACACATCGTGCTGCGTGCTGCTTACAATATTTCGTTCTTGTTTGCTTTCTCTTTTTTTTCTGTTAAACATTCAAAGAGACCCGATCAGCGGCCTCTCATTGTCTTTCAAAAACAAATTACAAAAACATAGAGTAATCGCTTTATAAAGCCTGGATTGAGCCATTGCGAGCAACAAATACTTTGCAACAAAAGTGGCACATACATTGTGGAAAGTTGTGTACGATTATTTTTTGGTTCAGTGTGTGTGTGTGTTTGTTGCATGTGTTTTGTACGTACATACACTTAGATGCCATCAAAGCCGTACACTTCTAGTACACGTATTTCAAAATCACCAGAGGGGCAGAGCGGCGGATTTTTGAAGGTCTTGCAACTGTCCGTTTTGCCGAAACGTATGTTCTCATCCATCCAAATGGCTTGGCCTTCACTGTAGGTGCACAATGAAAGTATTAATATTTAAATAGCAATGTACAAGTAAATATGCAAGTTATATAATTACCCGCCACCGATGGTTATCATTTTCGAATCGGCTGCCATGAAAAGCTCTGACGCATGTCCCAAGTCCTTCTCATTCTCAATACCGACCCACGGGTACTTGGCGCGTTCCGGATAGAGTGAGAAGAGGAAAGTCTCGCCAGTGCCAAAGTAAGCCTGACGCTGGCCCTTGTCATCTTTGACATTGCGTTCGAACCAACGAGTTGAGCAGTATGCGCCAAAGACCTGCAAAGCGTGTAAGAATTTTTAATGATTGTTTTTTTTTAATAAACAAAATAATAATATATGTGTTACCTCATTATTGCACGTTTTTATCATCATGAGCGTGGGCTCGTGTTGCTCGACGCGCACATAGAAGGTGGTGAGCGAGCAACCGTGTTCCTCTGTGGTGTAAAGCAGTACCGGCTGATACATTGTTATCCTGACGGGCAGCCATGACCAGAGTGTAAAGAGCTGTAGATGAAAAACGCTTATTAGTCTTTTGTGATCAACGATTTGTTTAAATATAAAATAAAATAAAATAGTAAATAAAAATGCAAAATAAAGTGTTTTAGCATTCTGAGTATTAAGTAATAAATAAAATACGCATACACTCACATTCATTAAAAAACAATGCACAAACAACAAAGGTTATTAATGTAAAAATAATTAAACAAATTGGCGAATACTTCGACTAATAACTTCAACTAATTGTTTTCTAAATGGAAATATGTCATTAAGCTTTCATAACAGCCATTTCTATTATATATTGTTTATTATTAAGATTTGCATTATTTTTTCTATACCCTGAACAGTGTATATGCGATCACTATAGCATATAGCTGCCATACAAACTAAGCGCTCAAACTCAAAGTCCTTCTATGGAAAAACTTTTTTATTTGATGTGATATCTTCACAAAATTCGGCATAGTTTTTTGTCCAAAGCAATGCTACTACCTCCGATGTAATTATTCAGATCGAACCACTATAGCAAATAGCTGCCATACAAACTGTACGATCAAAAACAACCTTTTGTATGGAAACTTCTTTATTTTTGAAGGGTATTATAGCTTTGGTGTAACCGAAGTGAGCGCTTTTTCTTGTTCTTACTTAAATTTGTTTTATTTAATGATATTTTTTGTAGGATGAAAAGCTTTTTATAGTAAACATAGAATTTGAATTTTATTGGTACGAACAGATTGAGTTCGTTGGAAATTGTTTGGAAATCTCATTTCGGTGTAATTATAATCGTGAGCGGTTCACAAAGAAACAACATTGGATAACTATATTTCATAACACACACAACAGTCGCTTGAATGCTGATACTAGACCTGATTTTTGGAAACAATTATTGAAGAGCGATGTGCCGAGATCATGGCTTTACCGCTGAAAAAGCCCGAAAAGCTCAGAAATTAGTGGAAAATGTAGCAAAAAGAACTGGTCATTAATAAAATAATTAATAATATCTAATATAGCTTTTTTTTGTTGTTTTTTAATCATAAAATGTTTACATGGCGTCTACGGGGTGATTTTCATAAGATAATTTTGTATTAGTTGGCTTTGACCCCATTAAATTTAATCGATTATATAATTCTTTATGTTCTAACATTTCAGGTAAAACCTTTTTAAAACTTACATAATGAAAAGTTAAGATTTAGTATGAAAATCTCATATACATATGTAGCATAAAAAACTCAACAACGCCAGCCATGCAACTTTTAATAGCAAGTAAAGGAACGTGTAAACAAAGACGTCATTTTAAAAAACTCATTCTACAGGAAGTCTGCTAGGAGATTACTAGTTATTGAAACATATGAGGTCAACTCTATTACGGATCTTTTTTATAAAAATTAGGCTTTTAGTGGAATTAAGTATAATTGATATTAATTTATTTATCGACATTAATTTATACATAAACTTTTTGAGAAAAAAAATTATTAAATAGATGACATTTTTAACAACTATGAACAAGATTGTGAAAAAACGGTACACATTAAAATGAATTTAGATAAAAAAAAAATAAAATAATTTTTTCGCAGATGTTACTAACAAGTTGAAGATATTGAAGTTATGGCTTGAGAGTTTGTATAACAAAAAAATTAGATTACTTAATCAATACTCTGGACGAATTAATGCGAACATAAACTTTGAACAAATCCAAGCTAGTTTCAAAACCTTTCAACTGTTTGCAAGGACATACATAATAAACTAATTTCTACAAAAAAATTAACTCATAAAGGGAACTGGATTTCCAATAGCTAAACAACATTTACATATGTACATAAATTTTAAATGTTTTAGCTGGAATTTCTTCTGAAACTTGTAGGCATATGTGTACAGTATATGCGAGTATGTTTTGCATGTACATTAGGTTGGTCAAAAAACGAATGTTTTTTTTCGCTTCGTACACTGAGAAATTGGTTGATAGACACCTCTAAGAAAGCCTCTCCAAGTATGAGCTCTTAATTATAACGTGAAGATCCTCCCTATAATGGTCTTCTATTTTTATCTTTTTATCAGATATAAAACTTCATATCTCGCTTCCAACTACTTGAAAACATATTTCGTTTCATAGATTTCGTAGGAAATTTAATGCTCTACAAAATGGTCTCCTATGGAAGAAAAAGCATATAGTCTTGTAAGAATTTTTCGACTCCTCAAAAAAGAGCTATCTATCAACCAATTTTTTAGAATATGAAGCGAAACAACACATTCGTTTGTTTTACCCACCCTGATGTACGTATGTATGTGGAGCATTCTGCAAATTTAGTCGGCTTGATGCGATCTGCGACAATCGGTTTGTATTAATTCTCTTAAGTTGTTGATGTTTGTGTGATTTTGGTTCGCTTCTCTTGAATGTTTATTGCTTTACTTCGGATTTTGGAAGTACTGTATAATTCTCTAATCAAAATACTGAAGAAAGCCAAAACGTGTCAGAATTCATTAAGTGAAAGTTCCACTGACGCCTATAGTTGTCTCAATCTCACGATAGGTCACTTGTCGATATTGCAATATTAGTTTGCACACAGCATCAATAGTTTCCGAAACAATATTTGATTTTAGACGACCTGCACGAAATTCGTCTTGGAGTGATCTACGACCTCGATTGAATTTACTATACCATCGATAAACATAGCTAGTCAGCATCGATACACAACTAGTCCTTGATGCGTTTTTATGTTCGTTTATTCAAAGTTTACACTTCCCACGACAGTCGGGTCTACGTAAGCGGAACGGACCCGGATTTTTATTTAGCCAAGGACTGCCAACAGAATTCTGCCACTACAATAAAAACAACTGGTTCTTGATGAAACGTTCTGAGTATGTTGTACATCAAAAATGTCAAATTTTACGATAAAGCTGTAAGTTGCCAGACTGCAATACTTGGGTTGCCTGAAATATAAAAAGCAACCTACGTATAAAAACTTGGATTTATATCGGGCCAAGTACTGTTAACACAATAGCGTTTCTCCAAATTAATAAGGGAATGTTTTCTGACGCACAACAACAAAAATGATTTAGTATATGTTGAAGAAGGTTTCAGGAATTCGTAGACTCCACTAATTAAGACACGTTTTGACATTTCTTCAGTTCGAACAAATTATCATACGTATGTATATAATTCTGTTAAAATTATCCAAAAATATAAAAAGCACTATGATTACTGACACCAATTACAAAAAAAAGTCGGCTAATAACGATTTGAAAGATTCCAATTTGCCTTTTGATTATGTACAACCTGTATTCGATGCCATCGCCTGCCCATTAGGTGAACGCCAATGAAACTGTGATTCTAAGAAGAAAACGGATGTGCCTTAATTACAGATTTAATGACGTTGGAAATACAATTATTTAACTTGCAAATTGTTGCACCATAGCGATCTCTGACTTAATGGAAAATAATGTAATATTTTATATTAACATATAACCAATCACTCGAAGACCTCGACTCAAAAGGACGAATGTTAAATATGTACTTGCAAAAATCTTGCAAAATTTTAGACTGTGTTTTTAGTGTTGAGTATTTTTAGGTGTAATGTAATCAATTCATAATTATTGTAATTCTTGAAAAAAAGTGCGGTTCACCATATGGCGCTACATTGTGTTTGTATTGAATCTTTAATGTTTAAAGTTTACTTTGTATATTGTTTACATTGCAAAAAATTAAAATTTTAAATATATTCGTGCCAAAAAAAATGAGGTTATAATGACAACGATCCACGCTATAAACAACCAGAGCAAATGTACTAAATATTTATTTTAAAAAACACTAAGCGAAAGTGTAGTTCGATAACATTTAGATATCCAAGAAATATGTGAATAGTAAAAATGTTTGGTCTCTATTTTTTAATAAATATATATGTACTAGTTATATAAATCTTAATTTTTGGTTACACAAAAATCACACTTACATCTTCACCGGAGCAAACTAGACTCTTTAAATTGTGTATGGGGTAAACACCCATAGCGACTGCTCTATGGCCAGGCGATTTTTCGCCCTATTGACCGGAGGCAAATGAGTAATGGGTTTTATGTGTTACAAATAACGGATATATAACGGATATATAACGGGTATATATAAGGTAAATAAATTTCAAAGAAATAGAATTTATTAAAAAATAGTATAATAATAATTTTGCGGGGGAGTTTAGGATTTTCAATAAGAGTGCATAAAAAGGTTTATGAAACAACAAAAAAAAAACATTGGAAATATATTTTAACAACAAGTAAATTATATAAATATCATAATCCATGGGGCGCAGGGAATTATTCGTCAGCAGAGTTGGGCGTTAGGCAGAGCAGGGACGAGAGAGAAATTAAATATTCACATTTTTATGGCAGCATTTCAAAAAGAGAAAAGAAGTTATAATTAAAAGTATTTCAATACTCTTGAAAATGAGTTTAGATATAATTTAAGATGTTTTTTTAATTTTCTTAAATAATTTTTCACAACAAATTTCGCCAATCAAATATGTATAATATTGCACAAACAATTTAAGTAATACACAACAAAACTTTAGTCCTTTCCTTGTTGCCAAATAACATGTGTGTTTTCATACCGATTGCAATGAAAATTAATAAATAAATTGGAACAAAAAGTCATGCAATATTTTGCAAGTTTAAAAGTGGCAAATGCGACAAAAGCGAAAAGATAAAATAATTTTGAATTAAGTGCAAGCAAAGAGCGCCACTTCAGCAAGGTATGAAACTTAGTGATTTAGAGGTGATAGGCAAGTGAAACGTAATTTTATAAGAAAGCACGAAAGTGTTAGTAAATGGTAGCACAAAAACAAAAAAAGACACACCCACACGTATTCATGTTTGTATGTACGCGCAGAAGTACCAAATGTAGGCAGCACAAAATTGAACAAACGATAATGCAACACCGACAAATCAACGCCCAAACAAACAAGTCAGTGGACAAACTAAACGGCAACGGAAACGGAAACAGACACAGAAACGCAAACTTAAAAGTGTAATTAAACGGAAAACTAGCATACAAGTAGTAGAACTAGCTTTGCATTTGCATTAGCAGCTGTTAAATTATATATTATTTTGTTTTTTATTTTTGCTTTTTGCATTTTGCTATAATTCAAGTAATGATAATAAGTTTTTCTGTGTGTCCCATACCAAATTGCGACAGGTCTCGGTGTACAATCGCTAAAATGTTTCAATGCACATTTCGGCAGTTCACGAGTTACGAGAGTTACATATGAGAAAAAGTAAACGAAATGAAAAAACAAGATATAAATCAAATTAAATTCGATACTTGTTGTGGCTTTGTTGTTGCTACTGTGAGTTTTATATATGCAGATATTAATATTAAATAGTTACTTAGCTATTTGTTAAAACTAAAACTAAGCAGTACAATACAAATACATACACGATGGGTCACAAAAATAACCTCACTTTTTGGATATACAGAATACACAATGCACAATACACAATATATGGTATTATCACTGAAAGTTGTTCTTTATTCAATATTTATTCTTTTAGTCTCAATACAATGTTTGGTACGATCAACCAGCGAGCATGCATAGATTTTTTTAAAGTCTTTTATAAAAGTGTTCTTCAGCAGCTCGGTTACGGCTGCTTGCATGGCTGGGAGGATATCACATAAAATACGCCTTTCTTGTTTATTTTAAATTTTGAAAATAGAGTATAGTCACATGGTGATAGATCAGGCGAATACGGCGAGTGGTTGGTGGGAGCAATCCGTTTTTTCAACAAAAACTCGCTTACTTTTCCAGTCGTCATTTAATTCATGTGGCACAAAACGCGCACAGAATTTTCTTTTACTCAAACCTTCAGCAAAAATTCTCCAAACTGCGTTTTTACTCGTATTTAATCCCTCAACCAACATTCTCGTGGTAAAATTTAAATCTATACCAATAAGTTCACGGACTTCGTTCACAAATTGAGCGTGATTACTAGATCAACTTGGCATTTGATCGTCATTTAAACCCTCACAACCATTTTTAAAATGTATAAATATAAAGTTCGGCTATTTTTGGGACACACCGTGTATGCATAATATGTGCGAACAAGACTTGTGTCATGAGATTTATCGTTACAACAAGATGCTGCGCCATTTTTTTGACGGTAAAAAAAGTTAAAAATTTTGTCTATATCTTATAATATACTATGTTCTTTGCCTTGTGGTTTGTAACACCAAGAAGGAAACTTTGGAGACCCAATAAAATATTTATATGAATAATCAGCAAGAAGATCTGAATCGATTTAGTCCCTCTGTCATTCATCTGTCTGTTTATACGCGACCTAGTCTCTCAGTTTTTGAGATATTGATCGAAAATTTTGTACACGTCCTTTACTCCACTATATAGCTGCCATACAAACTGAACAATCAAAATAAGGTCCTTGTATGGAAACCTTTTATTTTAGGAGATATCTTCATGAAATTTGGCATGGATTTTCGAAAACAACGGTACAATCTCCGAAGAAATTATTCAGATCGGTCCACTATAGACTACAGCTGCCATAAAAACTGATCAAAATCAAGTTATTGTATGGAAATCTTTTGCATTTGACGAGATATCTTCAGGAAATATGGCAGCGATTATTGTTTAAGGTAATATACTCCGATTGTTTCATTGTTTCCGATTGTTCAGATCGGACCACTTTAGCATATAGCTCCTATTCAAACTGACCAATCAAAACCAAGGAATATTTGAAAGGCTAACAACTCTTGGACTTTTAAGGGCTCAAGACCAAGATTCGTGCCAAAATCATCACTATGTCGACAGAGATGCTACAGGAATGAATGGAACATACTGCAAAATAAATTCTTGTGGTTGTTTGTTACTTGTTATCTTCACAATTAGTCTAAATAAATTATAAAATACCAATTTAAGTAAAATAATCTCAAATATGAAAATGGTAAATTTATTTTTTGAAAATTATTATATTTTTACACACCAACTTAAAGATTCCGTACCCTGTACACTTGTACTTGTATATATGTATCGCGTTAAATTGACATTTCACAAGTTTATGGGGCGGCTCTAATATTATAGACTTCTGGCCAATGAAAAGTAAACAAATCCCGCAATTAAAACGTGTCGTAATGCTTTAAGAAGCGAATCCGCACAAAAGCTTGTTTATGAGTTTAGCATATAACAAATAAGATATTAAAAAAAATTATAATTTTTTTATATTTTGTAATCCCAAAAATCTATTTTAAAAATAATTTTTAAATTTTTAATCCCAAATACGGAATTAAAAAATTTTAATCTGAAATTCTTAAGCATATAATTAAGATTTTAAAAAAGAAATTGTTTAAGAATTACAAATTTTTTGCGCTTGCGTACTTCGTGTTTTATCATTTTGAGCTAGAGCTGGCATCATCTTCAATACTTTTTTTTTAGATTTATATGTAATTAATTTTTATTACTGATTTTGTTGTTAAAAATAAAATTTTCAATTTCTACTATTAAATTAAAAAAAAACAATTTTAAATTTTCAACTTTTAATTAATTAATTCCGAATCAATTCAATAATTAATTAATTCAATCATCATTGAAAACTTAAATTGAATAAAATTTAAGTTAAAAAAATTTAGAAATCCGCAACCCTGCTTGTGACGTTTTATCCGCTCACTTAGTTTCGTTGCCACGGTACCGAAATGAAAAAAATTAGTTTGCTGGTCAACAAATGAATACATTTTTTTATAGCAAAGTGTTCCGGTTTTGTTTTTGATTTATTTAATAAAGCTTTGAATAATTTCACTTCGTTCACACATATTTTGCAGCTTTTCTCTATACATAAATTAAGCTGAGTTAAAATTTATAACTAATTACTGAAGTAGCTTAAAATTAGACTAAGTCGAATTGAAAAGCTGAAATATTGAATGTGAAAAAATGAAAGTCTACTCTTCCGGTTGTAGGCAAATTCGTGATAATAATTATACAAAGACAGCTAGAGTGAACTGGTAAATAAAGAATTGTGATGTGGGTGTACTAAAAGCACAGTGGATTGTATTGATACGTGAGTGTAAATGGCATGGGAAAGTAAGGAAAGGGGCAAAGTAATATTATATGTAATTTTTCAGCTTCAGAAACTCGTTGAAGATTGATTCAAAAGTTACTTTGCTTGAAAGCAAAGTTGAAGAAATTAGAAATGAAAATATATGTAGTCATTTATGGTTTAGTAGATTTCCGAAATTTAAAATTTAGTTCTTAAAACAACTTTAGTGATTTCATATCATTAATTAGTTAGATGAAAAGTGTGCCTTTACTCGGCATTGTACTAACCTCACGTATGGTCAATGTGTGCGACATCATTTGTATATTGACTTGTGATTGACTCGATGGCAAATTATCACTGGATCTCGACTTAACTAATTGCTTTGAACCGCTATTCAAAACGGAACGGCTCTTTAGTATCATTTCAGTCTTCATAAATATTCTAGAAATATATGTGGAACTGCGAAGAGAAAGAGAACGTTAAGTTAGTTGTAGTTTTGCTTGCAAGATGAAGGTATTATCAGAGCTCACCTCAGTCCCCTAATACTAAATGCGGCATGCAATAATTTCGATGGTGACACTGGTATCTTCTTGCAGAACTTAATTAACGCATTACCAATGTCATTCTTAATATTATCTGGACTCCATTCGTTGTTGGATTGACACTCTTTGTGGAAGAGATTGATTATCACGAGCGCCACACGATATAGCACCTTAATACCCTCGTGGAAGTAACAATCCATAATGCGTACTAGATGCTGAAATGGTAGACCTGCTAATATCCACCAGCACCAATCCATGAAGACGCGTTCCAGTTTAACACCAGGGCAGATGCGTTGAAAATAGGTCACGGCATTTTTCTGTGAAAGCGAAAATAGACACGTTAATATTATTTATTGATGTGAATGGATCATTAATGAAAATAGTTATATGTGAAGCATGTGCGTTATGAAGTTTATTGTTTGGTATACTTACGCTATGTTTTTTGGCAATTTGCATCACAGTTTTCCAGGTGACTTCATGCTGTAATTTGGTTTGCTTTATAAAGACTTTCTCCTTGCTACCGACAAGAGCTGCTAAACAATGATAAGCTTCCTCCTCTGCAAATAAAATATTAAAGATAGACGGTTAGAGAGTGGAAAGTATTCATTCGTTTGGTTTAACTGGGATTACACATTTTAAGATTACATACTATGATTACTTTTGTATGTTTTAGAACCATAGAAAAGTCTTAACAGCGGATTATATCATAAAAATTATATGGGTCCGATCTGAAAAGTTTCTTCAGAGATTATACCGTTGTCTTTGACAATAATCTGTGCCATATTTTGTGAATAATCGTAAATTTAAACAGTGTTCCATACAAGGACTAAATTTGGATCGATAACAATATAAAACAGCTATATGCTATAGTGGTCCGATACCAGTTTCGACAAATGAGCAGCTTCTTGGAGAGAAAATACTGGTGGCCTATCACTCAAAGATATGTAGAAAGCCTCACAAGCGCTTTCGTCCAACACAAATGCACTACAGATCATTAAATGTATATTCTCTTAAAACAAAAAAAGACGAGGTAGGAACTGGTGGCATATTGTTGCATATATCTGATTTACATATGTTAATCATACATTATACTAATGAGGAATACAAATCATACATTAATAGACGACTAAGCAGTCGTTCATGTTGAAAATTCTGACTTCAATATGACATTGAATGGGTAAAGCATTTTCGATTGACCTATATGAGATGTGGCGTTGTAAAGAATTTTGTCAACTTTTTATTACTGCTTTTGCGGCCAAAATGTTCATATGTTGCTTGTTTATTGCCGAATATTTGAATTTAAAAATATATTTTTGGATTAAAGCCAAACAAAGTGACAAAGTGATCGCGAAATGCTATTATTTTTTAAACAAAAAATTTCCCATGACAAACGAAAAAAAAATCAAACAAATAAAAAAGTCAAAGAAAAAGCAAAAGCAAAACAGGAGGAGAAGCAAAAATCAGCACAAAGAGACTAAAAATATAAGTGAAAATAAAAATATTCAATGAATAACAACAAAACAATTTAGAAACATAAGTACAACATAAATCAAAGGAGGCACGAGCATTAGTTGTGAAATTAGTTCGAAAAAAAAAATATTGATAATAATTAATAAACAAGAATGGGGAAGTACTGAATAGCAGTACAGAAAAATCTTACGGATGACTAATAGCAAATCGTATTGCCTTGTGATTGCGTTATATGATAAAAACTCAAAAAACCAACGATCACGTAGCATGAACCGAAAATAGTTTTAATAATATTTTTTTTTAACTTCTAATACAAAAAGATGTGTGCAACCTTCGAAACGTTGTCAAGAAGCCCTCGATTGATAGTTGCGATGTTTTATAGTATCCTCTGCTTCTACCTAGTCTAATTGTGGGGAGGAGCCTACTCTGACTAGTTCACGTGCTTCACAGTTTACGTTATTCACCAGGAATATTACGATGTCCTGGAACCCATTGCAGGTTTATCGTGAAATAGAATGTTAGATCCACCAAGAGATCACGGAATTCCTTCACTATCTTTGATGAAACCTTAATAGACTTTAATGATTTCAAAGCTGCTTGGCATCTGTATATATAAATATATTCCTTGTTGTGAGCACACTGCTTGTCAGAACAAGAAGGCTTCCTTTAATTGTTGTGATCTGCGCTTGGAAGACTCTACCGTGGTCTGGTAGATGGAAGGCGATTCTGGTATCTAATTTTGCTGAAAATACACCACCTCCCATTCGGTTATCTAGTTTGAACGCATCCGTATAGATGCTTATGCCCTCAGTCCAAGAACTTACTTCACAGGCAGTTGCATTACCGCGTATTTCTTTTCCATTATTGGCCACCATACCAATATACCGTAGGTCATAATCGAGATTACAACTGCTGTGTAGATCCAATGAGTTATCCAATTCGTTAGTCCTCATTTGAACCCCCATCCTTTTTATGGCTTTACCTTAAAAACTTTTATTGGATTAAATATGGATCTAAAGGCAGAAACAAAACGTTTTCATTATCAAAAAAAGATAGCAAAAGCTCATTCCTAAACATTTACCATTAACCTTTATTTTAAAGTTCATCAAGGGGAAGGGGTTATATCCATTTGTTAATTTAAACAAACTTTTTTATTTATTTATTTTTTTTTGCTTATAGTTTGAGATCTTCTGAAAATAAGATAGCATCAAGCGAATCCAAGATTTTTCAAAATGAATTATCGATTATTATTACGAGTACCTTACATTCTGTGAATGTACCCTAATTTTATTTATTTATTAAATAAAATAAAATGTCTCTACAATAAAAATTCAGCTAAAACGCGTTATTTCTCACAAGCTAGTGGATATACATGTATATAATCCCTTGAGATATATTTTACACATTAGCGTTTAACTTATAACTTTCGTGTAATTATAATTCTACTATTATTTATTTATACAAATTTATTAGTTTGTTTACAAATATTAGAGCAACAAGTTCACACCACTCACGCATACCTATGAATGCGCCGGTTGATCGATGAATGGTGCTAGAAAACCGGTTTTACGCAAATGCATACGTAAATGCTAATAAAACCGATCACTGTTGCACGCGAGTTCTCAAGAATTTTAGCAGTTAATAAAAGTAAAGACTACAATAGATTCATTGATTAGCGATTTAACGATAATTCACTTGCGCATTTCGCTTAGAAAACTATAATGTATCTAGATAAAATATTGGATATTATCGAAACGGCATTCCTTGTTTGCTAATGTGGCATTGATTACTTCACAAGTCATTTATGCCGTTATAATTGTATCTACCCTCTTGCGATAAATATAAATTACTTCAACTAGTCAAAAATTTAACTAAATTGTAAAAAAAAAGTCATTGTTTTCTTAAGCTTAACCAAAGAAACTTTTATATCTGAAGACACAGTTACAATTACAATTCGTTGAGATCGTGTATGAATTTCTGCAAACTTCGGGTATATGGTACATGATATTTGACATCACCAAACATTAAAGTAATTTGTTATTAGAAAACATAAGAAAGATCTAAATTTTGCCTTAGAATTGCCATGGAAGTTATAAATTAGAGCAGCAAGCGGTACTGCAGCGGGTAGAATTGCTTCACAATACAGTAACAAGGAATTGCGGCTTTCTCATATGGATAGGTGAACACACGAGCATAGAGGGAATCGAGATAGCTGGCCATCTGACTAGGAAAGCAGTGCTCACAAAGTCGATAGAACTCAAGTAATTTTTGCAATGGGCCCACACATCAGCAAAAATAGCTTCGGGAGGGAATATTGAAATGGGATCGGTAATGGCAAGAAGTGTTTAGATTTTACCACGCAAAGTTATTTCAAGCGGGTATAGAGGTACAAATGGGTTGCCTGTTACAGACTATGGAAAACTTGAACGACGGAAACCCGTCGATTCTGCCATGTTGCACGGTCACACAACTCTGAGTCTATCTATGTTATTGTAATGAACTATAGGAATAAACAATATAAATAAAGTAGCAATTCAAGCAAGTTTAGGGAAGCTTTAACCGCATAAGCAAACCTTGGTAAAATATATATTTCAAGCCATAATAGACCAGGGTCGATATTGGAAAAGGTAGATGAAATAACAATAATTTAATGAAATATAATTTACGGGCGATATGAGGTCGGTTTATCGGACGCTGGTTGAATTTTTAAGAGTTCAAAACGGCTTATCCCGATTTCGGCCAAAACTACGAGCCCTATGAAAAACCGGTTTATGGCAACATTGAGCATGATTAGTTGAATCGATTTAGCCAGAAATCGGTGCAGCCGGAGTTAATGTTTATTTAAAATATTTATTTTTTCGGCTTATTTTGACTGAATGTCGAAAAAGCACCTTAATTTTCAATTCAAAAATATTCCGAGAAAATATCAACTAATAGTCTAATAGAGAAAATACATTTATTTATAGCTGCTCATTAGTTTCACCTTTTCTGAAAAAATGAAAACTGCAGCTACTCAAATACGGCTGAGGGGCGAGTTTTGGTGCGCGCTTAGCAAATTTTTCATTATCAAACCCGCTCGATATAAATAAAGAATTTACCTGCAGGCCGTCACAAGTACTATGCGTTTTACCACACATGTACATATTGTAAATACATAGGCGCATATATTTATACACACATATGTACATATGTGCTTACATATATGCCTACTTGCGAATTCACACCAACAATGGCACAACTGCCAGTGAGCTTGAGGTCAAGAAAATTCATTTTACAAGGTTGTCATGTCGTTGCTCGCCTAATGCACTCACTTGAACAACAACAATAATTGTGACAACGACAACTGCAAATACGATAACCGATACAGTAGGGTTGCAACGAAGCTTTAAAAGTTGAGCTCAAGTTGCGGTGATAATTTATTAGACGATTGGAAATAGGAGGACAAAAAACAAAAAAAAAACGAAAAAGAATGTGCAGAAACGAGACTAAACGCAGCACACCACTTCTCATGCTCCGAACGTCACATGTGGACTATGCGAACCCGACCATAACCGGCATTAGATGAAATGCCGATGTCTATGCTATAAGTTGATGCCGGCTGGTTGGTTACTTCGACGGCGAAACCGTCTCTCTTCCAATTAAGTTTCAATTCAGCTTGTAATCACATTTTCGCTGTAGAAAAAAAAGCTAAAGTACACGAATGAAATATATATATAGGTATATGTATATATATACAAGTATAGATAAATAGATATATGGACCGTCAAATTCATATATGCATAACTGGGTTACATGTAATTTTATGCAAGTGTAAGTAAAATTGTATATACACACTCATATTTATATATCGTTTAAATAATGAACCGTATCTAGAGGGGTTAGAATTAGTTCAACCAAATAGTCGTAGTCGTGTGTTGCGACGTCAGCGCACTCGTATTCGTATATTTAGCACATTAATTTATAATTATTACCAGCAATATTTTTAAAATTGCATAATTGTCATAATTGAGAGGCAATTTATAGACTGTAATTCAGCTTTATCATGGGTCATTGCGCCAAACGGTATACAACGGGAATACAAATGAAT